TGCATTTTCCTCCTTCCTATTTTTCCTCACCTTCTCACCCTATTTACCCTATCCCTCCTAATTCCTCTGTTTTACTTCTACCCACTACTTTGCCCTCCTATTCCTTCAAAGAATCCCTCCCTTATCCTCTCCCCCTACCATATCCCCTTACCATCTTATTTCTTTTAGGATTTAGAAGATTTCTGTATCCTTTTAGATAAATGTTCTTCCCTCTTTAACCCATTCCTGATGAGGGTAAGGTTCTAGCACTACCCACCCTTCTCCTCCCACTAGCTTCTTCTGTATCAATTTTTCCTTTTATCCTCTTTTATAGGAGATAATTACTCCTTTATCTCTCCCTACAGTGTTATTTTTTTAGAACCACCCCATCATGCTCAGCTCAGTTCACATCTTTCTTTCAAACTAAATAATGATAACAATCATAAGAATACTGTTAATATTTTCAGATACATTAAATAAACAATTTGACCTTATTGAATCCCTCATAATTGTTCTTTAGTGTTTACCTCATATTTCTTCTGGATGTTATATGTCAAATGTTCCCTTAAGTTCTAGGGTTTTTGTCACAAAAACCTGGAAGGGCTCTGAGTTTGTTATATGTCCTTTTTTTTTTTTTTTCATTCAGGATTATACTTAACTTTGCTGGGTAAGTTACCCTTGGTCATAACCCCAGCTCTTTTGCTCTATGGAATAAAGTATTTCAAGATGTATGGTCCTTCAATGTAATAGCTGCTAGGGCTCATGTAATCTTTATTGTAGCTCCATGATAGTTAAATTGTTCTTTTTTTCTTGTTGCTTCCATTATTTTTTCCTTAACCTGGGAGCTTTGAAACTTGGCTATGATATTCCTGTACATTTTCCTCCTGGGATCTCTTTCAAGTGATGATCAGTGGATTTTTTTTTATTTCTGCTTTGCCTCCTTGTTCTAGAACTTCAAGGCAATTTTCTTTGATAATTTCGTGTAATATTGTATCAAACTCTTTTTTTAATCATAATTTTCAGGTAGTCCTTATAATATTCTTATATTATTTCTCCTCAATCTATTCTCCAGAGCAGTTGTTTTTCTGATGAGATGTTTCACTTTCTCTTCTATTTCTTCATTCTTTTGATTTTGTTTTATGATTTCTTAGTGTATTAGAATATCACTGACTTTCCCTTGCTCAATTCTAGTTTTCAAGGAATTATTCTTAAGTTTTTTATTCTCCATTTCTAGTTGGTTGATTTTCTTTTCATAATTTTTTTGATTTTCTTGGATTGCTCTTATTTTTTCCTAATCCTCAATCTCTCTTATTTGATTTTTAATTCGTCCAAGAATTCTTTTCATGCTTGGGACCATTTGACATTTCTCTTTTAAAAAGAAGTGGCTTTTTTAGCTCTATTATCTTCCTCTGAATATGAATCCAGATCTCTTCTCTCCGCATAGTAACTATCTGTGGTTGGGTTCTTTCTCCTTTGCTTACTCATTTTTATTTACTATTTTTTGTCTTATTTTGTTTTTAGCAGCTAATAGTGTAGTCAAATTGTAGTCCCAAGGTATGGGGAAAGATGCCCCAAAAGTCTTAGCAACTTCTTATCACTATTTTTTGTGGTCTGTCTCAGGGACCAAACTTAGGCTCTCCTCTCCTCAGCCACACTGTCCTGCAAATGATCTAGCTCCTTGTGGTCCCTCCAGTGACTGCAAACTACAGCTATCCTCTCTGCCACAGAACTGAAACCTGCAAATGCCCACAGCAGGCGGAATCCCTGCCCCTTGTTATTGCACTCACCAGGTGTATGTAAACTCCTTCTCTGTGCAGCCACAGCCCTTCTCCTACTCATCCCTCAGACCCCCACACTGTCTGTGAGAAGGAAGTTTTTAAGGCTGAGGTTGCCTCTCAACCCTGCTGCTCCCAAGGCCTGTTGTTTGTTGACTTTGCAGAGCTGACCTGGAAGTGTTTTCATTTCACCCAGGTCAAACCTTCCCCTCAGAGGTTGGGTCTTTCCTGGGGTCTTCTCAGATTATCTTAGGAGGACAACTGCTTTACTCCATTTTTATTTCTGCTGCTCTGAGGTGATGTTCTGTCTATTTGTAGTTGCTGTTCTTTGCCCTTTTCTTGAAGAGCACCATGGCATCAGGAAAGTGATGCCATGACTTGTAAGTGAACTGGATTTAAGTGAGGGAGGGCTGTGCAAAGTCAGCAGCCTCACTTTCTCCTCCAGAGCCATCTGGGGACAGATGCAAGACATAAATCAGGATGACTAGAGATGGCCCTGGAGTCTTTTTTTGTGGAGGAAATTTGAGAGCTTAAGGTTTTCTGATCTACTCCACCATCTTCTCAGAATCCTCTCCTGATTACATTAAATTAAAAGGATTTTATGCAAATAAAACCAATGGAACCAAAATTAGAAAGAAATCAGAAAATGTGTGAGGGGATTTAGACAGTTTCTCAGATAAAAGTGTCATATTCCAAATATATAGAAAACTTTGTCAAATTTATAAGAATACTAGTTATTCCCCAATTGATAAATGGTCAAAGGATATGAGCAGGTAGTTTCTGAATGAAGAAATCAAAGCTATACATAGTCATATGAAAAAATGCTTCAAATCATTATTTAGAGAAATGCAAATTAAAACAACTCTGAGGTACCACATCGCACCTATCAGATTGGCTAACATAACAAAACAGGAAAATGATAAACACTGGAGAAGATGCATCGCTGGTGGAGTTGTGAACTGATCCAACCATTCTGGAGAGCAATTTGGAACTATGTCCAAAGGGCTATAAAATGCACATACCCTTTGACCCAGCAATACCTACTTCTAGGTCTTTATCCCAAGAGATCATACATCAGTTGGGGAATGGTTAAACAAGTTGTAGTATATGAATGTAATGGAATACTATCGTGCTATAAAAAATGACGAGCAGGCGGACTTCAGAAAAACCTGGAAAGATTTGAATGAACTGATGCTGAGTGAAGTGAGTAGAACCAGGACGGCCACAATGTGTGATGACTAATTTTGATAAACTTATTTCTTCTCAGCAATGCAAGGATCCAAGACAATTCCAAAGGACTCATGATGGAAAATGCTGTCCACATCCAGAACAAGAACTATGGAGTCTGAATGCAGATTGAAGAATATTATTTGCTCTCTCTCTCTTTTTTCTTTTTTTGTTTGTTTGTTCTTTCTTGTGGTTTCTTCCATTCAATCTAATTCTTCTTTACAACATGACTAATGTGAAAATAGGTATAATATGAATGTATATGTAGAGCTTATATCAAATTGCATGCTGTCTTGGGGAGGGGGGTGAGAAGAGATGGGGAGAAAATTTGGAACTCAAAGTCTAATGTTGAAAACTAAAAATAAATAAAATAAATTTTAAAACAAAATAAGATTAAAAAAAAAAACTTTGAGATATCATCTCACACCTACCAGATTGCTAAAATGAAAGAAAGGGAAAATGACAAATGTTGGAGCAGATATGGAAAAATTGGGACACTAATACACTGCTGGTAGAACTATGGACTAACCCAACCATTTTGAAGAGCAATCTGGAATTATGCCCAAAGAGTTATTAAACTGCCTACATCCTTTCACCCAACAATACCACTATTAGGTCTGTTTCCAAAGGTGATGAGGGAAAAAGCAAAAGAAACTATATATCCTAAAATATTTAGAGCAACTCTCTTTGTGGTAGCAAAGAACTGGAAACTGCCAGGATGCCTGTCAAGTGAGGAATGGCTGAACAAGTCGTGGTACATGATTATGATGGAATACTACTGTGTTGTAAGAAATGTTAAGCAGATTAATTTTAGGAAAGTATGGAAAGATTCGCATGAAATAATGAAGAGTGAATGAGCATAACCAAGAGAACTTTGTATACAGTAACAGCAATATTGTTTGAAGAATAACTGTGAACAACAAAGCTTTCTGAGTATTATAAATACGTAAATCAACTACAAAGGACCTATGGAGGAAGATCTATCCACCTCCAGAGAAAGAACTAATAAACACAAGTATGCCTAGTATGATGTTTTAAGAGTGTGTGTGTGTGTGTGTGTGTGTGTGTATCTGTGTCAAATGGTGGCTTTGTCTAGTGTGTGTTGGGGAGGCAGTGAGGGAGACAGTTGTAAACATAAAATATAACCCAAAAAATGAATTAAATTTTAGAAAGGAAAATAAAATACCACTGGAAAAATATTCTATGAAACATGGTATGACACATAGATAAAACATTAAAGGCAACGGAAAATAAGTCATTGGCTAGGAAGGTAAAGAATATTTCCTGCTTTAAATTGAAGATTAGAGTATAGTAGTAATGTTGTACAAGGAGTTAGTTCTATGAGCAAGGAGGAAGAAAAATACTTTCCAAGAAAAGAGCAAGTTGAAGATGATATGATTAATTCAATCATTATAAATTAATGCTTTTATTTGATGCTATAAAAAACAATATATAAAAAATAATAGCAAACATCTAGAACAACCTTGACATATAAGCAAATTTGTTTCTATTAGCCTAGCTCATGACTGATATTTATTTAATAAAATTTTACCAAGAAATTATCTTAAAAGAAATCATATAATTAAAACAAAAAATGAGACTATAAAAAATAGTATTTAATGAAAAAAATTATTGGAATGGAACTACAAAGATAAATCACTGAAATGGCCTCATTTTTTTTCTTTTTTTTCAATCCCTTATACACATCTGCTACAGCTCTTCAAACGCCAAAAAAACAAATAAAGCATAAAGATAGTCCTGGGTGGCCGGTATAGAACAAAAATCACAAACAACATCTTATAAGGCATTCTCACTTTTAAGTGATTCACAATTTCTATGACATTATTTCTAACTTTGTCCAAATTTGAAGCCCAAATGACAAAATTTCAAAATCCTAGATGGTCGCTATCAGATTTGTTAAAGCCGTAGCATTTAATAAAACTTTATGGAGATCCTTTTTTAGATTATTTTATTATCATTAAAGCAGAAGTCATAATATCCAAAATGGTTTTTACATACCCTCTCATCATTGGTTGCTCTGGTAGGTACTTCCTTTCCTTCATCAGGCAAGGGCATTCTAGATAAGGACAATCCATTTAAAGCAGCCAGTTTAAGAGGACCACATTTTTTTGCATCTGCTCGACTCTTTTTCATTCCCTATAGAAAAATTTAGATATATTTAACACATATATAACATATAACATAACATATAACAATAACATAACACACATATATCTATATGTTTGTACACACACATACCTCTCCAAAGAGAAAAATGAAATTTCAATGAACTTAATGCTAGAAAGAAGAGACTAAATGTTTCTCTCTTCAGATTTACAAACCAAAGGGAATGTTCCACTGTTTCTGTTTACATGTTTGTGCTTCATGTCTTAAATTAGAGTCATTAGGTGGATGCCACATTCTTCCCAAGGCCAAAACCCTGCCCCAGCTTCATTCCAGATATGAGATTTTGAAATGCACCTGGGTTGCACTGCTATGTTGCAATGAAAGGTGAGATGAGCCAACAGCCTTCTTCCACAAGACGTAATATCTCCAGAATTTCAAAACTTGATAAGGATAATATAGCTATATCTAATGGAAAGAGTTTTGATTTTGGTAAAGATTTTATTTAAAATAAATTTGAAAGCAACTCCATTCTGAAATTTTTAAAAAAATATTGGGGGGGGGAGGGAATAACCACTACCTCTGTTCATCTTCTTTCTCTCTATTGGAGATACTGTTGGGCATCCTGCCCTTTAGTCTTAACTGAACTTAGACTTGCCTGACCAAAATATGTTACTTTGCCTTTCCGTGCCTCAAGGACTTCCTCTCAAAAATGAGATAATAACATAAGACTGCAGGTTAGTATGGGAATGGAGATAATATCTTTAAATGTGTTTGATTTCCTGAAAAAAGGGCACAAGGTAGGGAGATAAGCAGGGAATATACAGTAGAAAGAATGCTACTTGGAGTCAGCAGACATGAATTCTAGTCCAAGCTTTGCCACAAATTTTGCCTGTGACCTTGGGAAAGACAAATAACCTCTCCTCAATTGTGAAATAGTCAGGTAGAGCGGTTCTCTAAGGTCCCTTTTTCTTATAAGCTTTGACTGATATTTTCTGTTTCTTATATCACCATAGTTATCTCAAGTATCCTTTCCCCTCTTCCTCCCAGAGATCCATCCTATATGACAAATAGTGTTTTTAGAGAGGAACCTTTCGGCAGTCTAGTGAAGCCTATGGACCTTTCTCAGAATCATGGGGGTTTTTTTTAATAATATAAGAAAATGCCAAATTTCAGGTACAGGTTAGTGAAAATATAGATGATTTTTTTCCCCATTCAAGTTCACCTGAAATCTATCACAGAACCCCCTTTACAAATCCCTAGCCTAGACAGTCCAAGGCATATTAGCGTGGGAATAAATCATGAGCATCGCAGTTAGGAAGGTAGAGCTATAAGAATAAAATTAAAATTATTTTATGGAAGCAACCTTTTGGAAGAGGGCAGTGGGTGTGGGTGAGGAGCAAGGTTCAACTCACTGATATTGTGACCACAAACTTGTATGAAACATGAGTTGGTATACAACTCAAAAAGCTAGTACAATCTAACTTTTAAAAGAAATTCTTCAAGAAAAAACGCTTGAGGGGCAGCTAGGTGGCGCAGTGGATAGAGATCTGGCCTTGGAGTCAGGAGGACCTGAGTTCAAATCCAAACTCAGACACTTGACACTTAGTAGCTGTGTGACCTTGGGCAAGTCACTTAACCCCAACTGCCTCACCAAAAAGCCCCCCCCCAAAAAAGAGGGAAGAAAAAAGAAAAAACACTTGACTAGAAGCAGCATGAGACCCTGGAAATAGCACTCAACTTAGAAACCAGGAAAACCTTGTTTCAAATTTCACCTTAGCCATTTACTAGCTGTGTGCCCTTAAGCAAATCTCCATCTAACCTCTCAGCTTCCTTATCAGTAAAAAGTGAAAAGATTAGATTCAATGATCTCCAAAGTTCCTTCTAACTTATCCTACAATCTTGTAAGAATCAGCTAAGTGACACAGTGGAGAAAGCATTGGACTTGGAGTCAGGAAGACCTGAGTTCAAATATGGCCTCAGGCTATGACTAGCTATGTGACCCTTGGCAAGTCACTTAACTTCCATTACCTCAGTTTCCTCAATCATAAAATGAGAATAATAACAACACTTAACTCACAGGGTTGTTGTGAGAATCAAATGAGATTATATTTGTAAAGCATTTAGCACAGTGCCTGTTACATAGTAGGTGTTATATAAAGGCTTAGGGCAGCTAGATGGTACAGTGGATAGAGAGCACCAGGCCTAGAGTCAGGAAGACATCTTCCTGAGTTCAAACCTAGCCTTAGCTACTTACTAGCTGTGTGTCCCTGGGCAAGTCACTTAACCTTGTTTGCCTAAGTTTCCTCATCTGTAAAATGAGCTGGAGAAGGAAATGGCAAACCATTCTAGTATCCTTGCCAAGAAAACCCCAAATGGGGTCAAAAATAAAAAGTTGGAAACAACTAAAATGATTGAACAAGTATAAATGTTTATTCCCTTCTCTTTCCATCCTACTCACCATCCCCTGTAAGAGTTAGGAAAGCTCTACTCTATTTGATAACTAACTAGTTGCTTAACCTTAAGCAAGTTATAACATTTCCACAACTCAGTTTCTTCCTATATAAAATGAAGAGGATGGATTACTTGACCATTTATAGTACCAACATTTTGTGGTTCTAAATTATTGTTGAAACATTACAAACTACTTCAGATTGGAAATAAAATAGTTTTGTATCATTTAAGTAAGGTAAGTTGTGTCAAAAATAGTCAAAGTCTACTTTCACTAACACAGAACATACCATATAAAAATTTCACTGGTTTTGCGAGAAGTCATTATCTCTAGATGACAGCTGATAAGAGCTAACATTTATATAGTGCTTACTACGTGCCAGGGATTATGCTAAATGTGCTTTATAATCTCATTTGAACCTCCCAAAAATCTTGGGAGGTAGGTGCTATTATTATCCCCATTTTACAGATGAAGAAGCTGGGGCAAATAGAAGTTAAATGACTTGTCTAGAGTCAGTAAGTATCTCAGCAGATTTGAACTTAGGTCTTCCTGACTCCAGGCTCTATCCATTGCACCATAATCCACTGCCTAAATGTTATGTTTTAAAAATTGATATTTCAAGGAAAAAAGTGAAACACTTTAAGAAATGTCCCTTAAGAAATAAGCTAAAGGTTGTTAAAGGTTGATGCAAGAAGTATAGAAAATTGATTCAAATATATAAAATCAAGAGTCATTCTACAGCTAAAGAAATGATATAGATAAAAGATATGTAGGCATTTCTCAACAGTCTATAACTCTATGAAAAATATGTACCAAATCATATTAGAAAATTCTCAAAAAAAATGTAAACTGTTAACAACTCAAAAAAAAATGTTTCAAATCATATATAGGCAGTTCTCAAAAGAAAAAATGTAAACTATCAACAATTCTATGGGGAAAAAATTCTACAAATTATTATTAATGTGAGAAATGAAAATTAAAACAACTCTAAGGTTCCAACTCTTCAGATTGGCAAAGATTCTTGGTGAGGCTGTGGGAGGACAAACACATTAATGAACTATTGGTAGAGATATAAATTGTTCCAACCATTCTGGAAAGCATTTGGGACTATCCCCACAAAAGTCACTAAATCATGTATATACCCTTTAATGCAGCAATGTCACTACTAGGCTTATACCCTTAAAAAGATCAAAGAAAGAATAAAAGAAGCCATATATAATAATATAGCCACACTTTTTATAGTATCAAAGAACAGGAAACAAAGAGGTTTCTATCAATTGAAGAATGACTGAAAAATTATAGTGTATGAACATGAAAGAATATTGTTGCACTATGGCAAAGGGGACAGATTCAGAAAAATCTAGAAAGACTTGATGAATTCATGCAGAGTGAAGTAAGCAGAATCAGGAAAAAAATTTTATAAAAATTATTATGACATTGTAAGGGAAAACAACTTGAGAACTCTGATCATTGCCAGACTCCAGAAGATTGATGATGCTGTCAAAAAAAAATTATCAATTGAACATTCAGAAAATACACAGAAGAAAACAAGTCTTTCATGATTTCAAGACCGACTCTCTATCTACTGTGTGATACTTCCTCTCCCACTCCATCAAAATACATCAGAAGCTTTCATGTTTAAAAGACTCTGCTAAACAAATACAACCTGGCCATTTTCTAAAGCTCTGTACTACCCAGCATGGGGTGCCCATATCAAAGAAGGCACTGTACTCTAGGAGTGAAGCAGAAATGCAATAGCTCAAAAGAAGCCTGAGATGCACAAATTTAGAGACATCTCCACTCCAAATGTTCACATGACTATCTGTGCCCAACCTGTGCTAAAGCCTTCCAAGCTCATACTGGTCCAATCAGCCACAACTGGACACACTGTACCTTGACTCCAACAACCCTGACATACTTTAAATTTCAGCAGTTTACAAGTACTTGGTTATAAATGGGTCATGAGATATACCTACAGGGAGATTTTCAGATGGAGCCACCTCCAAAAAAATACTGGTTAAGATCATGCCATTTTCATTTTCTTCTCAATGAAACTCCATGAACAAAATATTTTATTCTGAAGGTCATTCACTAATTTATCTTCTCTCTTCATCTAATTTACTCCCTTTCATGAGGCATCAAAAGGATAAACTATGAGATTCATCATTTTGTGTCAATTTCCAAACAAAACCAAAACTAGTGAGCTAAAAGCAGCACAGGAATAAGAATAAATGGGAGAGAAATTTTTAAAAAGATTTAAGAAACACACAAAGAAAAGAGCAAAGGGAATTTTTTAAAAATATAGTCCTATTTGTTTGAAAAAGACTATAAAGAAAGAAAAACATTCTATGGCTTACCCCTAATGGAGGAAGACCTTCAACAACATTCTTCTTTCCTGAAAGAATGTCCAACACAGGTCTCTTTTTAAGAGAATCCCTTTTCATTCTATAATGTCCTGATGTTGTGAGGTCCGACTCTGACATCGATGGAGTCAATAACCCTTCTCTTCTAGGTATCTGGGCATCAACTATCACATGAACTGGACTGATGGCTCTTACTGGCTTCTCAGTCTCTAGGATATGTGACTTTGGCTCAAGAATATGCAAAGGGTTGGGCCCAGTGGTAACAGAACCATACGGGTAACCAAGCAAAGACTCTTTAGAGTAGCCACCTATCCCCGAGGAACGCTGTGTGGTCTCATCAGGAAGAGGAGAGAGTACTTTACTTTCTTCATCGAAATCTTCTTCTTCTTCTTCTTCTTCACTGCTATGAATCAGCATGGTGGCATCTGAAAGAGATTTCTTATGACCGTATCTCACATTTTCCTGCTCTTCATTTTCTTCTTGTTTTGTCCTTTCTATGAAAACATTCGGCTGAGAGCTAGCTGCTATGACCCGGGGCACTGCCACATCAGCTGCAGAGGCAGACATAGTTCTCTCTTTAAGCCTTATTCCTTCAAAACTATGGGTCAATCCAGCTATCTCGATGCTGTTCCTCTTCTGTAACTGAGCATGTCGGGCTGAAGTCAAGGGTTCACTGACCTCCTGCAGAGAATGGGCAACTGGGAGACTGTCTTCTTGGAACGTCTGCACTGAATGGTGGACTCGCCTTGTGATGAGATCTGGGTTGCTACTGCTGATGTATAGATGCCGGGATAAGTCTGGGGTGCTATTAGCAGGTCGTGGATATGGATAAGGTGGGGGTGGTCGATAAACCTGTGTTTTCATGATGTTGGGAGCTGGATAATCCTGAGCCTGAAGTTGTACGTTAGTCAACTCGGGAACGCTCACGGCTCCAACAACAGGTCGCCTCTCGGCAGGGTAGGGGTAAGGAGACTGGCTATGAAAGCTGTAATTTAGATTGAATGGATAATGCACTGACTGTGGAGAAGTAAACTGAGTACGTTCTCTGATTTCAGGCTGACTGTAGACCAAAGCATCGGGCCTACTGTAAGCATAAGAATTGCCAATATTGAGATTTCTCAGTGAGTGGCTCTGCCTGTCAGCATGGCTCACTCCTCTATTAAGCTGCCTCATCACCGTTTCATAATCTGGGGTGGGGCGATAAGATGGAGGTATCAGAGTACTATGTCTATGTGATGGAACATAGTCAGGTCTCATAACGTCACTTCCAGTAATGCTTGGGTTAGAGGACATTGGTGAGGGTTGCAAGAAGGGCTGTGGGTTATTTAAAGAGTTCGTGCTGTGGGCACTGTAGACACTCCCATTACGGATTCTTCCATTGTAGTCAAGCGCTCTATCTAGACTTGTCTGAGAATGGCAATAATATCCATTCTGGTTGTTCACAAAGAGGTTATCTGAAAAGAAAATATTGAAGATTTATTTCAAGTTAGATACTTAAAATGCATCAATGTTAAGACTCAATGTTGAGATTCAAGAATCAAAAACACTGCCACAAACTGTAATAATTTCCTTATCCTCCCAAAAAACAAATAACAAAAAAGATGTAATTTCTACAAATGTTATAAACTTGCTGCTAAAACAATAGGACAACCACTTCAGAAATCATCTTCCTTTTCTGAAATTCATAAACTCGTGTCTGACTTTCTATTAATTAGTAGACATCAAGCACTTGACAAGGGGCTCAATGGGAATGTAGGACTAGTTTGAAAAGCATTCTTTTGGGGTTTGAGTGTTCCACAAACATTAAAGTAAAAATCTAGTGACTTGTGAATTTTATTCTAGAGGAACACTGCTATGAAGGAGAACAGCAGCAAAGAATAAGAATAACTAAGGGTCTTCAGTGCTTGTTTTTCCTTGTTATATTATTATACTCCTCTGTATCTTTAGGATACAGAGGAGTATAGTAATACTTCCATAAACAGGCAGGATGTAGAAAATTATTCAAGATCTATGAGGCAATAGAGTGGAACAGAAAGAGTGCCTGATTTGAGTCAGAGAATCTAGATTTGAGTTCTTGCTACGATCAAATTCATAACTACCAAAAGAAATACCAATAAAAAGTGGGCAGAACCAATTGTTCTGGGACTAAGTATCCCCAATCCTCATTAATTCAGACTAACTGGAAGAATGTATTGTCCGAACTAAAAGATCAAGTTATAAAATAGTCTTAAAGAACAACAGATCTAAAACTTTTTGAGCACGTGCAGTAAGGAGGCTAACCTAGTGGATGTCATGCTTTGAAAAAGACATTTGAGATGATTTGTAATTAGCATCAGCCTCCTTGCTTTCAGCCTCTGCTTATGCTTTAGCTACACTGTTTGCTTGCAAACTGAGACTTTTTTAAAGTTCTTGAAAACTGCTTGTTCCCTTAAAAATTCTCCCTGAAGTTCAACTGAAGTCCAAATTAACAAGGATTTATTGTTTAATCTAAGCCATTTCAACTTCAACTAAAAGGCAAGTTGGTAGAATGGTAAATAAAGTGCTGATCCTGGAATCAGGAAGACCTGAGTTTAAAACTGGCCTCATACACTCAACTAGCTAAGTCACCCTGGGTAAGTCACTTAACCTGAGATTGCCTCATCTGTAAAATAAGGATAATAATAGCACCTACCTCCCAGGGTTGTTATGAGGATCAAATGAAACAATAACTGTAAAGTGCTTAGTACAGTGCCTAGCACACAGTAAACACTATGTAAATGGTGGTGGTGGTGGTGGTGGTAGTAGTAGTGGTGGTAGTGATGGTGGTGGTAGTAGTAGTAGTATTTGTTCTCAGCCAATCAAGAGTCAACTGTGCTCCTCTAAAACAAAAATACATATGAAAGAATGTTTGGCAAAAGTATGTCTGTAAGAGCACAGAAAATAAGTGATTTACAGATCAGACAGACTGACAGATAGATAAAAAACATATGTTACATAAAAGGAAGATATCAGAATACAAAAGATGTATAGGAAGGACAGAAATCATGCAAGATTTACAAACATTGCCACATGTCTGACAAGCGTTCAATGAGTCAAAGTAATAAATTCTCATGACGTGAGTTTGACAGACAATATCTTGAAACCAACTATTTATACTCATCACTTAAAAACCAGACCAATTTTAGAAGTGTATGAACTCTGGGAGAGAAAATATTACCTATGGTTTTTTGTGAACTATCTCTGAAAAATACTTCCTGAATCAAATACAAAAGCACAATCTTCTTGTACTTAGCAGTTATTGAAATTTGCAAAGAGGTGAAAAGCAGAAAAAATATAATATCTACATGCAAACTGTATGTACATACAGGCATATTATCACTTGAAAAGTATCTGATTTATTGTACATAGGTACATTCTGATTTTTAAAAAGTATCATGGTCAATTATAATAATAGCATTTATCTAGCTTTAAGGTTTGCAAAACACTTTGCCTATATTCTCACATTTGATCCTCAAAATAACTCCTTATTTTACAGATGAGGAAACTGAGGCTGACAGCATTTAACTGCCTTACCCAAAGTCATACAGCTAGTAAAGTGTCTTAGGCAAGATCGGATCTCAGACCTTCCTAATTCCAAGTCCAGTGACCTACCCACTATTTCACAAAGCTAAACCAGCAATCATATCCTATAACCAAAACTGAACTGGAAGACTACATTTAAAGCAATTAACATCTACATGATGCCTATCTTAATATATACTTTTGAAATAACAAAGTAGACCATAACAGATTTAGAAAGTAGCTTAACAAAAACTTGTACATTATTAACAAAACACATCTCCTCATCAAAAGGATAGAAGAGAATTAATAGGCATGCTCAGAGTATATCAACAGGTGAAACACCTAGAGAAATACTTTTGAAACAAACAGCTATCCCTTCACTGAGCAATGGTAAAGGTTGGTAATAGATACACACCATTAGATTACTTAAATGTAACAGAAAAATGACTGGACTTCAGATCTGTGGAATCCAAAAGCCCTCTATGATCAACATTTGCATGAATATAGCCAACATGTTGACCAAGAAGCACCAAAAAAAGTGATTGAATCATGTGAATTTATTTCCTTAGAGGTTTATGAAAACAAATCAAGATCAGTTCAATGCCATCAAAAATTACAGAAGGGCTATCCTTAAGGAGCCTAGACTTGATGGTCAATGCATATTATCTGAGGAAATGGTATCACCCCTGTAAAGATATCAATGTAGGCTATAAAAGTTTAGCCTCTACCAAATACATAACAAGACATGACATAACTTAGTGGCTAGAATTATACATGAGAAGCGTTCATTCTTTCATAGGTTGACAAATGACAAATCCCCATACTAAATACATAGATCTCAAAATATCCTTGAGACTTCAAACTATGAACTGTACTGGAACCAAAGCATCATTACAGACTGAAGCACTGCCCATAATCTGCCAGACATAACATTGATCCATTAAAAACTTAAATATGATGTTTTACTTTGTTTTAAATAGAGTCTGCCTTACAAAATACTCAGTCCCTACACTGTATTTAATGAAAAGCTTTCAAAATAGAGAAACCTAGTGGAAGAAATCAAAATCATGTGGGAAACCACCTAATGCAGAGCTGAAGGACTTAAGGGACAGTATTTGTTATAAGGGAGGGCTGCATTTTTTTTTTCATTAGTACAGGGGAAATTTAAGAAGGAAAAGACTAGTAGTAATGATGCTCAAAAGGAGAAAAGAAAGAAGAGGGTCATTGTAGATTCTTTTTTAATGCACAGGAGAATATAGAAGGTTGAGAAGGAAATACAAACTAGCAGGTTAGCTCTGAAACACAATTATTTTTTTTTTCATAAAAATGCAATCTGTATTAACAGATTCACGAGAAAGTTGAACAGCTGAATTAATAGGTTAATCCTTTTTTGTCCTATGTATTCAGAATGTTCAAGTTTTTGATGTTCACTGTCAAGCTCAGAATAACAAAAACAACATCATATAGGAACAAGAGATGAGTGACACATCATCATTCAGTCTACTAGTTGTGTTGAGAATGCACTTGGTAAGCCTACACAGAAGATGAGCTTATGTTCTAATGCTTCTATTCAGTTTCAAAAAGCAATTACCCACCTACGTAGTTACCCACAGAACATGAAATATAAAAGAACGAGATCAAGACGGTGACTTGTACTAGGGGCATTTCCATCTAAATACCTTCCAAGTAAATGAAAAGAATGAATTTTCTATAATAATAATGAGATGAGGATAATAATGACAACTGATACTTATATCACACTTTACAGTTAGAGAATATTTTCATGTGATTTTCATTTGATCCTTACAACAATACTGTGATAAAGGAAATACAAATACCACTATTCCTGGTGACAAAGTGTTGGGGCCCAAACTTGAATGCAGGTCTGGCTTAAGGACAGTTCTCTTTCATAAAACCAAATTTCCTCTTTATTGTATGTAATTCATTTAACTTACAGGTGAGTAAGCTGTAATAGATGACCTCTAAGGCCAATGATTCTTAAAATTATAGCATTTGGAGCTGGGAGGGGACTTGGAGGTCATTATTTTGTTCAACTCTGCCGTCCCCCTCATTTTCCAAAGGAGGAATCCAAGGCCCAGAATGTTTCATAAAGGTGGTAAGCAGCATGGCAAACACAAGGACTGTTTCCAAATCCTACACTCTTTCTACCCATGATTCCATAATAATTATTATGACTGAATTCTTTATATTGTGTTAAAACAAAAAGGGGGGGGTATATTTCAACATACATTTCCTACTGTACTGTGTTCCTATGAGTTTCCAACAAATGAACTGCATATGATTTGGGCAGGATAGGGAGAAAAGAACTCGAGTACAATTCTTTTAGTCCTCTGATTTAGAGATGCCTATAACCACAGTGGCCAATAACAGCCCTGACTGGTAATTATTTAAGTCTTCTTATTCTTAGTGACATTTATTAAATGAAGCCTCTTGGAAATCATGCAGACTTACCTTGGGAAGAAGTATATGGTTCTGTATAATGTCCATTGTAATGTAACTGAGGTGGTGGAGGCATCACATACGGCTGAGGTTTAGGCTAAGAAATGAAATTTTATAAAACAAAACAAAATATTAAATCCTCCATGTCTTACTAAAGTGTTGTTGTAACTGACTCAAGTTTCTACTCAGGAACTATATCTTTCCCTATACTTTTCCACTTATAAATATTAAAGGAGCTGTTTATTTTTTAAGCACTTGAAAAACAAAAGGCAGCCCTTTTCATAAAACAACACTGAATCTTTTATTGTCAATTATATTTCCCAAGCTAACTGCTAGTTGAAAATGAGCATGCTGTATAGCATCATAAAATAACCTATATTTGATTAAGTTTAGGATTATATGATTGGCCCACGAATTTTTTTTTTCCCCATTCATGGTTGCTCATACACCAAATTAGGTGTTAAATGATCCTCAATCACATATTTTCTAGAAAGCTCTAGTTCCTTCTTAGCCAAAACCTCTAGTGTTTCAAAATCTATTCATTAACAATAACTAATCAGTCAAAAGAATAATATTTGACAAATAGTAATAAATGAAATACATATTCACTTCACTGAGGAAGCAGGCTTTTTAAATCTGACTACAGTAAAAAGATTTTAAAAAATCAAACTTAAGATAACTTCATCTCCTTACCAGAGACATCCTTGATGAAGACCTCCTCCTAACAGGATTCACTGTAAGAGTCTGAGTTTGCCTAGAATTTAAAAAACCAACACATTTTTAAGAACAGTCTCATACAAAATTCTACAAGAATAAGCTAAAATAAATAGACATTTCAAAAAGCTCATAATCTTCCGCTGCTGGTAGGGACAGAGTGGGAAAAGAATATATTTCCTCTGCTTTTCTATTTAATTGTTCAACACTTACCAAGCACCTACTATTTGCCAGGTACTGTGCTAATCATCGGGGATACAAAAAGAGACAAAAGACAGTCCCTGCCCTCAAGGAGCTGTCCAGCAAGTTTCATACTTGTACCACTCCTGCTCTTGAAGCCAAAGCATCTGCAAGGGACATTAGTTTCTTTTAAGTTACTGGCATTCTGACCATTCCCATAAGGAATGTCAAACACAGAAAATGGAGTGGTGGGAAAATGTGTCACTTCCACCATACTTTCCGAGTCAGGTTTTAATTTGTTGAAGAATAAGAAGTGGTCTTTGAACATAAAAAGTCTCATGCTCATTAACCACTAAGAAAAGAATAAGTGTATTATATTTCATAACTTAAGTCAAAGTGAATAGATCTCCCAGGGCAAGTGAAGACGCTTTTACATTACCCGCATCAGCAAAGATGAAATTCAATACACAGTGCACTTATGAAGTCCACACATAGCTGGGGGGCGGGGGGTATGCCTCTCTTTTATTGTTGTTGCTATTTGTTTGGTTTAGCTCCCCCAGTGGAACAGAAAGATGAGAAAGGATGGGAAAGAGAGAAAAGAAAAGAAGGAAGAAAAATTTCTGAGAGGCTTTCATAGCTGGAGAATCTGGGGAGTCACTATATAGAAGGTATAAGAAGACAAGATGAAAAAAAATCATATCAGAGGTTGTTTCAACTCAATTCAAAAACTTTGTTATGTTTTTTTTTAATATGTTTTTAAAAATTGCCTCCCAATAATTTGGATGTTCTAACTCTAAGCTCTTTACAGGAGTCAATCTGTGTCAGGTAGCAGAGGTATTTTGTCCTGAGTATGATGATATCTCTGGAAACAATTCAATGTGAATTCAATGTGACCAAACAGACAGCTGAACTTTTTGAGCAGAGAAGAGAGAAAGAAGCTTAAAACAAGTAAGATAAGGTGCTCTCTTCAGATACAGGACGAGAAACAATCATGGGATTTTTACCACAAATTTGCAAACATGCAGAAATAATTCAGGCTTTTTTTCCTTTCTCTTTTTGGTTTTTATGAGGGGCAAATAAAGAATATGGAAACTTATAAGTGGATTATAGATGTCTATAATTTTCTCTAGGATTAATTTGGAAGTATTAGAATGTAAGTTCCTTGTGAACAGGGATTGTTTCATTCTTTGAATCTACTGAACATCTAATAAATACTTGCTGATTGACTGAAGCATTCAAGTCTCTCTTTTGACAGGTCCAGACTGAACAAAAATAACTAATAAATGAAGGAAGGTGACTGACTAAAAAGGCTTTCAATGACAATATGACTAGAGATTGTGATACAATAAACATGCCCCAGGAAGGTTTGAAGTTAAGAGATTCAGGTGAGAAGCATGAAACATGAATGGAGATAGAGAACTAGGTTAAAACTAAGAGTAACTAAGGATTAGTAACAAATGTACCTACTTAATTGTATGTAGGCATTTGTGTTGCTTTAAATACAATATTAACTCTATATGATTTTATATATTTAAAGTGAACAATATACTAGTAAAGGTCATGCTTAGCTATTTTTAAAATAGTATTTTTCTTAAAAAGCATAATTTTAATGACAACTCAGATTTAACTAGCACTTTAGAGTGCTAGTTGACAAAGAACCTTCTTTGCATGACACTGAGAGATAAAACACAAGGAAAAAAATCACAAATTAAGGGAAAACATGCTAATTTTTGTTCTCAAAATCAAACATGCTCATAGAAAGTCTAGCTATTGAATGTCATTCACTTGGTGGGTAATTCATTGCAGGCAAAAAAGCTAGAAGAAAATAACCAACCTTTTAAATGTTAGTGGGGTAATCCCCAACTTAAAACACAACAGGAAAACGAGGACAGAACTAGTCACCTCTATTACAAGAGCCTGCTAGTTGGTCTCCTTGCCTCAAGTATCTCCCCACTCCACCCTTATTCAATCAACTCCAGGGGCTCCCTAGTGCCTCCAGGATCAAATTTAAGTGTTCTTTTGCATTTAAAGTCCTTCAGAACTCAGTCCCTTTCTACCTTTTCAAACTTCTTTTACCTTACTTCACATCCTCTGTAGTCCAATGACACTGGCTTTCTTGAACAAGAAACTCCATCTCCAGACTCCAGGAATTTTCCTTGGTTATTCCCCTATACCTGGAACTCTCTCTCTCCTCATCTTTGCCTCCTGACTTCCTTCAAGTCTCAGGTAAAGTCCCTCCTTCTATGAAAAGCTTTTCCCAGCCTCCTTCCAAGATTATCTCCAATTTGTATATGTTACTTGTCCACAGTTATTTATATATTGTCTTCCCCAATAAGACTGTAAGGTTCTTGACAGCAGGGGCTATTTTTTGCCTTTTTTTTTTCCCTAGCACTTAGCACAGTACCTGACACATAGTAGGTGCTTAATAAATACTTCTTGACATGTTGACTTGACCTTCCAGAAGAGAAAACTGTTCTTTTAGTGTGTTTAATATCACTTTACAAATCAGCTTTTGCTTCTTTATTCTCACAATCTCAAATATCAAAGGATCAGAACGTATAATTTTACTGGTAAATTTGACTACAACAGTTGATTTCTATGAAAATAAGATTAAATATTATTAAGATTAAAAAAAATGTTTAGACCTGTGATTTCCACAACATAGGGAATTCTCAGCTGAAAAAATTCCCTCTTATTGATGTGGATTGACACCTTCTCAGAAACTTATGGTCTCAAAGTGTTGCCTATAGTACTGAGATTTTAAGTGACTAGCCCAAAGTCACACAGAGGCAGGCCTTGAATGTCTTTCTAGCTTCCTGATCTTCACTCTAGTCATTATGCAACACTGCCATTCTATAGCTATTTTTAAAAGGATAAAAAAAATGTACAGCTCTATATGTTTTGTTTTTTTTTTTAACTCAGTATGGTAAATTTTTTATTATTTTGTTATTTTCTTTCTTTGTTGTTATTTTTTTTTGGAATATTTTTATTTGGCAGGCATTACTCTAGCAATGAGGAGTCTTAAAACATAGATACTAACAAATATATAAATTGGCCATATGGGGACCCAAGTAAGCTATTTTCATTTGTACTAGAAAGCTTCACACATCTGCTAACCAAATAGTCTACTCCCTGATCTTTTTAAAAATTTAATATTTTATTTTCCTCAATTACTTATAAAAACAATTTTTAAACATTTGTTTTTTAAAATTTTAAGTTCCAAATTCTCTCATTCTCTCCCCTTCCCCCCTCATTGAGAAGGCAAATGATTTGATATAGGTTATATATGTGCTGTTAGTGTGGTATATTTTTTTGAAGAAAGGTGCCAAGAACAAAAATTCATTATTCTTGACTTTAATGACACTTTGTTTAGCCCTATCAAATCATTTTTTTAAACTTCCATCTTTGTTTGCTCCCATATGTTCCTGTCTCATAAGGCTCATGAAAGGCATTATTACTGTTTATAAAAGTATTCTGAGATGCTCTGTGTGTTTTCTAGAGAATATTATTAGAGTAGCTAAATTACAAAGAGAATAAGTAACTAAATTAATCATACAGTATGATCCTTAAATATAACTCTTTTCCATAATTTCGTGCTGTCCTCAGAAATCAAAAACAGACAAGGTCAAGTCCTATAGTCAACTCTTATAGTCAAATCCTAATAGCCTATTTTGAACAGCACATTTGAAATAATAGAAAATCAAGGTTTATTAAGAACTTAAATACAGTAAATGACTGCAATCAGGGTTATTGGTTCGGGGTAGTGGGGCTGAATATCCCAAAGTCTGACAGCATTCTTTAATAATCTCCCTTCAAGTTTATTTTAGAAGACTAGGCAATCCAATCCAATAAGAATTTATTTCTTGGATTGCTGGACACTGACATTCAAAACATTCCACAACTGACCTCCAACCTACCGTTCTAGCTTCTCTTATACTATTTTCTCTTGGTATGTTACATATTTCAGCCAAACTGGGCTATTCTCCATTCCCATTATCTTGTCTCTTTCTATACCTGTAGCCTTTGCTCACAGTACTATTCCCTATACCTGGATGGATTCTCCCCACCATCATGCATTGAACTGCTCCTTCTCTTCAAGACCTCACTCAGATGCCACCTTCTACATGAGGCCTTCTTTGTCACCATGACCACCCCCCCCAACTTCACTGTTACGTGAAAGTAACCTTTCTAAGTTTCTCATAGTTCTTTGCCTGGAATTATTTTTGTACTTCTTTCACTGTTCCTTGTATCAATTATTTCTATGCTTGCATTTTACCTCAATAAATAATACACTTCTAATATCCTTAGCACCTAACATGGTTCCTTGCTTTCAGTAGGTAGTTAATAAAGGTTCATTAAATAACATACATTAAAGTTGGTCTTACAGGACTTTTAATATCTTTAGGTTCAAATATTTTAACAAATATTAAAATGCTTTGTAAACTTAGATTACCACACCCAAGAAAGAAATTATCATCATCATCATTAATATTATGAGGACATATCAAGGTTACCATGTATAAATGGAATTGGTTCTTTTTGAAGATTGAGTAGATTGTCCAATTATTTACCTAGTTTTTGAGGAATAAGCTAGGATTTTGACTTACATTCACTATTTTAGCCCATGAAAGATGGCCTGGGACAATATACAGAGACTTGATTTTTTTTATTTTTCATTTCTTAACTGGACACCAGTATTTAGAGCTATGATCACAGAATCACAGCTAGAGCCAAAAGAACTCTTAAGTCATCTAGTCCCTCATTCTACAGATAAGGAAACTGAGGCCCAGGAAGATAGAATTAGGGAAAGCAAGGAATCATGAGATATGTAGTCTAACCTTCTCATTTTACAGATGAGAACACTATGGCCCAAAGAGCTTAAGTATTTGCCCTAGGTGTCATGGATAGTATATGACAGAGACAGGGTTTGAATCCAAATGCTCTGAACCAAACTAAGGGCACTGCCTTCTGTTGTTTGAAAATATTCTCCCTCTGGAACTGAGGCCAGTCTTTGCCAAAATTGTGCTCTATGCCCCTCACTGGTTCAATGAGAGGTTTACTTCCGATGCAGACACTGAGGTTGCCAGAGACTTGTGGCTGAGGGGGAAAGGTAGAGTGTCGAAAAAACCTCTGCCAACAAACTCCCACAGTACATCAGTGTTGCTGCTGTAGCCCAACCTGGGACGAAAGTGAAACTCTGGGTATGCTAAATACAAAATTCATAGACACAGAACTCAAGTATCAGCACCCACACAAAGTCTATTTTGGCACCCCAATTCCACAGCACCCTGTATGGAGGCTTACTACACACCCACCCCTAAATACCATTTCTATGTAATTTTTTAAAAGACATTTTTCCCGGCCAAAAAAAAAAATTTGACTTGAAGAAACTTCTCTAATCATTTCTAATAATCTAAGCACTTTTTCCTTCACATCATTGTACTTAGAATTTACTTTGAGATCTGACAGTCTAAATTTGGTATATAGGCAAACAATTAGTTTAACAGGGAGTCAACTTTTGAGAATTTTATAAGGAATTTACTGAGATTATGGAAAATCACTGATTTGAAAAGCAGATTTCTTGAAGGGAACTAGTGATATTGAATGCATCAGAACAGAACAAACAGGAAATGATTAAAGACTCTGGATGTCAGAGCAGAAGAAAAAGATGGAAAGCATTTCTCACTGAATTTTATGTTTTGTTTTGTTTTGTTTTAGGGTGTTTTTTGTTTGTTTGTTTTTTAGAACGTGTGATTTCACTGATATTCCCAGTGAGGAAGTAATGAAACATTCTTTACAAATGCAGAGTAGTACCTTCCTTCCCAATTTAAGGTCTTAGAGATTGGAGCACAAAGAGGTTAAATAACTTTCCCAGGGTCACCCAGCTAGGAAGTGTCAGAGGCTAGATCAAAGGTAGGTAATCCTAACCCTGAAGCCAGCTCTCTATCTCACCTTGCTGTATCTCTGAGATCTACTGCATTAAAAACAGATGCCCTTTCAAGATATTCAGAGAATGAGTTAAGAAAAATTTTAATTTCATTTGACCTTTGTTTTGAGTGTACTAAAAGTCATAAAAGTGAGGGGGAAAGAAAGCCTAATGGGGTATGGGGAATTCAGTGTTTCTAAATGAAGAAAAAAAGGCAAAAGTACCAGAGAAAATTTAAAACAGATAAAAATAGTCCAGAAAATTACATCACAGATAACATCTCTCCCATTTCTTTATCATATTCCAGAGTACTTCCTTAATATCCATTACCTCATTTGATTTTTATAACAACCCAAGGGAGAACATTTATCAATCCCATTTTACATATTTTTTTAAAATGAGGTCCAAAAAATTTAAATCATTAATCTAATTCTGATAAAGTTAAAGAATAATGTAGTTGGTTGCTAAAATGTCTCTTTCTTGTTAAATTTCCATAAACAAAAAGTACAAAGTCATAATGCCATTTCACTATTAAAATCCTAGAAGCCATTTGGTCATTTGTTGAACAATTAGAAAGGAGCCCTGATTCTATATGGTAAGAAAAAATTTTTGATGTAGCTCCTTTGTGTACAGAAAATTGATTTATCAGGCTAAAAGATTGCCCAATAACACAATTAACTAAAATGAGATCCAAATTTGGACTTAGGAAATCTAATACAGTTCTTTAACCTTCACAAATTCATTCCTATATAATTATGTTTACCCATCTGTAAGGGTAAGCTATCTTTTCATTGATACAGGCTACACCCACATAGGGAAACTCTCTCTACCAAAGTAGGTCAGTACCTTCCCTGCAATTTACAGTCTTGAAGAGCTGCCTAGAGCACTAAGAGGTTAAGTGACTTGCCAGAGGTCACACAGCATGTGTCAGAAGCAAAACTTGACCTTGATTCTCCCAGGTCTGTAGGGAGGAGTCTCAGTATTGTTATGACACAATATTAAACGAGTTCAATATAACAACTAGTTGAGCTCTTCAAAAGAAATAGTATATATAAATTCAATTCTTTTTCGGGTTTTGTAATATTCCCCCTACCCTGCCCTGAAAAAAATATCCAAAATAAAAAATTCATTTATTTCACATGGGTAAGAATTTTACTGAGCCAGATCACTAGAAAATCAAGTCCAAGAAAATAAACCATAAGTAATTATGTGAGACTACTTTATAGAAATAGTGTGATTTACAATTTGGAAACCTGCCCACTAAATGTAATTATTCTACTTAAAATAGAATATTTTCTTTTCTATGCTTGTAATAGTGCATAAATGTGCATTTATTTGTTTGGCATAAAAGAGATACTGCAAAAATTATATTTCACACACTGAGTCATTTTACCACAAAGTAAACAATTATTTATTTGTTTTTTCCTCTGAATATTAAAATCACTACTAGGTGGCTATGCGCCACAGTACTTTTTTAAAATAAATAAATAAAATTTAACTCACAAACTAATATTGATTCATATTTTCAAGTCATTTCTTTTCTTAACATTGCTCAAAATGAATAATTCTCAACCACTTCTGTCCTGTGAGTAACATCTTACATTATAAAAATTCCCCAGTAGAATATAATCTCCCTGAGGGTCAGTTTTGTCTTTATATCTTCAAGGACCAGCACATGAAGGATGTCTGAAAAATTTTTGTTGCATAGAATAAAGCTTTATGATTTTGAAGACAATTGTGTATGTACATAAAAACTATGCTAACATGACATTAGCTTGAAATAAGTACCATATTAATGTTCATCATCTTTCTTTATCATTTCCCCAGACACGCATATTTTAAACGTTTTTAAAATAAAAAGTTTTAACTTTTCCTTCTTGAGACTTGTTTCTTTTAAATTTATACTTTCTTAGTAGGCTTTCTTGAAGCTTTTCTATCTTTAAATCTACAGTCTCTTTGTATGATTTTTCATAACTTTCCACTCTTTGTGATTTTCTCAGCTTTACTGACATAAATTATTATACCCTCACGGTGGAAAAGGAGGAAGATGAAGCCTATAACTTTAACTTGGTGCTAGTAAGAGTGCTGGAAGCAAATAGGTGTCTCAGTGGATATAGCAATGGGCCTGAAGTCAGAAAGACCTCAGTTCAAACTCAGACACTCACTAGCTGTGTGATCCTAGGCAAGTCATTTTTCCTCTGTTTATTTCAGTTTCCTCAACTGTAAAATGGGAACAATAATAATGCCATTTCATGCTGGGGGTTTTTTTAAATGAAACGTCTGAACTTTATGACCTTTCATCAAGCATAAAGGACTTTTTCACCTAAAAGATTTTGTTTTTAGCTAGCAGAACAAAACACAAGAACAGGAGAATTTTTTAAAAAAAACCACTAAATATTTCACATCAAGCTACACAATTATAGAAAAATCAAATAAGTACTTTTGTCAAGTTATTCAATTGGTCAGCAAGTACTTATTAAGTGCCTATCATGTGCCAGGCACTGTAGTAAGAGCTGGACTTAGGCACTATGTATAATATAGTTTGCTTCTACATAAGCTACTTATAATTTATTCTCATTTATAACAACTACAGAAGAAGAACATGATCAGAAAAAACTTGCACACATCCTGCCTTTCTCTCCCAGTACTTGAGTCTTAAGAATGTATCAAATAAAAAAAAAATTTTTTTTTAAATAAAAAAATAAAAAAAAACAAGAGTGTATCAAATAGCCCTACTCACAAATGAGCTAGGATTCTGTAAATCTGGGCTTACAAAAAACCAACTCCAGGGGAAGCGGCAGGTATTTTATATTCTTTAGCTTTGAGTAGGAAAAAGAGAATACTGCATTTATACATCATAAATACTAATAAGGGCACATCCTTTAAAAATGTGTTTCAAGTTATTAGCCAGGAATGAATTGAAAAAAATCCTGAAGAGAGACAGCATGCTACCCTGGAAAGAGAACTGGATTTAGAGACAGAAGACCTGAGAGTTTAAACCCTGGGTCTGTGACCATCTACCTCTGTGACCCTGGACAAGACACTTAACTTTTCTGGGCCTCAATTTCCTTATCTATAAAATGAAGTTATCGGACTAAATGATCACTAAGGTGTCTTTCTGGCTCTAAATCTTTGATCAAGTGATGCTATGCAAACTATATAGCTCTTCAGCCATGAAGAGCTGGTCCAAAGGAAACAGTGAAATAAATTAGTATGACATCTTAATGTGTAAACCAAATAGAGGAAAAATATTGTAGAAGGGGTATAAAAACATGATCTTCTCCTCTTTGAGTACCAATTAGATTTGTAGTTTATAAAACAAAATATAAAGTGGGAGTGTCTAAAATCATTATTTCTCAGAGTTCTATAAGCAAATAATACTTACAGGTTGCATTTGTTTAGTCTGTAAAACTTGTGTCTAGCAACACACAGCCTCCATACATATTTTGCAGTTTCCATGTCTTCCTAGCAAATAAAATGTTCATAAAGTAAGATGAATATGTTAAGTTTTCATATATAAAACATTCAAGACCACTACATATAATATGGTTACCCAATATTCTATTAATGAGCCATTTTTAATATATTGCTATGATTCCTCAGGTTGTTCAGTTGAAAACTTAATCATATAAAAGGCATCCTGTAAGGATGCAAACTGGCAAAATTATGCACTACTGAAAGCCTAAGAGATTTCTTATTCTAGTAGGTATCTACTTAGCAACCCAAAATGTTTCTGAAATGGAAAAGTGGTAAAGTGACAGCCTCTGGTGAAGACCCTTGCCTGATAATCACCCCAAAAAGAAAGTTTTTCAACATAATGCTTGAATAAGAGGCCCCATGTAAATTCATTTTAAGGAAAGTGGCCAAGGCAACCATGTTCATTCCTTCATTCCACTTCTGACTCACAGGATGTCTTTCTCCAGTTTCTTTACTTCCCATTAGAAGGTAAACTCCTTGAGGGCAGAGATTGTCTTTCTTATTATCTGTATTACTTATTACTTGAATTGTGTACACTTGTACACCTAGTACAGTGTCTGGCACTTATTGAGTATTTAATAAATAATTGTTGACTTGACTTTATTCAAGAAAGAGCCTAACAATTATTTGGAAGATATTACTGATAAACCAATCAACTACTCTTTTATACTCTCCCCCTTGGAGTTTTATGTCAAAAATCAAAATATATTTATCAAGGTACAATTTTAAAGCCACCAAAACTCCAAAGGCATGGTTAAAAACTGTTTTGTGAAGATCACTAATACTCACAGTTTGAAATTGGATGGTCTCCTCTTTATTTGCCAGTTCTAATGCAAAAAAGGACTTATTGTGTGACATATTAGCAATGTCATGCCACCTAAAGAAAGAGAATAACATTGTAAACTCATAACTTCATAAAATCTTAAAGGGGAAATTCTGAGTTTATGATCTCTTTTTCTTTGTCAAACTTCATTTAATTGGTGTAAGAAATTTCCAGTAAGAAAACTCTTTCTACCAATATTGACTAACACTTTCTCTGTAATTTAAGAGTCATTGAGAGTTGCCAGGGGGCACTAGGAGGATCAAGTCACTTGCTCAGGGTCATATACAGACAGTATTTGTCAAAGATGGGACTTGAACTAAGTTTTTCTCGCTCCAAAGAGCTCCAGCTCTTTATCCACTACACCAATCTGCCTCAAGAATCCATTAATTATAATTTAAAGTGAAGATTTGATTCATATTTATTCAACCAAGTTATGTTTAACACTTTTATACACAGAAATCGTGATACCAATAATACAGCATCAAATGCTAAGACCTGTGGAGTATACAAAGCTGAAGGCAACACATAGTAAATATCCTCAAGAAGCATGAAAATCTTGGGGAGGTAATACAAACATATAAAATTGTTACAATGAGACACTAAAGAATGACAAGCTTCATGAGGTAGGTACAAAGTTCTACATAAATTAATTAGTAATTCTCCAAGGAAGGAAATAACAAGGACACTGAAAGAGGATCTCACTCTAACAAGTACAAAGAACAAGAAAGATTTTATCATGACTTGCGAAATGTAATGTCTGTATTTCTGTCAGAGCCAAAAGACTGCTACCTATGTTCAAACTGTATATAGTTTTTCTACTGGAAAAGAAAGCAAAATGGCTCAAGGAATGACTCTCTCAACACTCCTGGTTATCAGGGAGAATGTAATGTTCATTTAAAACTGTTGGAAGGGCTTCAATGTCAACCAAAGAATAAGATTTGAAGAAGCAAAAAATAGCTTGTGACAGGAGATGAGAAGTCAAAGAATATCACAGGAAAGAGAAAAGAAGGAAGAATAAATAATTAACTACTTATAGCTAAGAAACAAGTATGAGGATCTTCCCAAAGAGAAGGCAGATGGACACTCAAAGGAATTCAGCTTTAAAGCATCCCTAAGGTTCCACCTCATGGCACCATATTGATAAAGTTGACCAAAAAAATAAAAATGACAAATGCTGAAGTGGCTGCTGGAAAACAGCAACACAGAAACATTAATGCCTTTTTGGTAAAGCTGTAAATTGGTCCAGCTATTCTGGAAAGTTATTTGGAGTTGTGTCCAAAATGTTACTAGTAAACTGCATATAACCTTTGATCCAGCAATACCACTATTAGAGCCATATGCCAAAGAAATCAAAGAAAGAAGAGAAGGACTTCTATATATAAAAATGTTTATAGCACTTATTTTTGTAATAGCAAAGAACTGGAACTTAAAGCAATGGTCATCAATTGGGGAATGGCAAAACAAATTATGGTATATGAATATAATGAAATACTACTGAGTCATAAGAAATTATGAAAAGAATGGTTTCAGGGAAATTTGGGAAAACTTACATGAAATGATGCAGAGTGAAGCAAAGAGAACAATTTATACAATAACAGCAATATCATAAAAACAATCAACCTTGAAAGCCTTAAGAACTCTGATCAACACAATGAGCTACCATGATTGCACAATACTAATTATGAAGCATGCTCCTCGCTATCTGTCAGAGAGGTGCAAAATAAAATGCATTCACATATAAACACATACACACATGTACATACATGACAATGTGGTATTTGGTTGGTTTTTTTTTACGGGATGTGGAAGGGAAAGAAAAATCAATTTTTCTTCGTTAAAAAAGTAAATTTTAATTTTAAAAACTTAAGTACCTGCTTATGTGCAAACTAATAATCATACAGACCCACAAGTGCCATCAAATATTCATCCACTAAGGGTTAGAATAAGAGAATAGTGATGGCAAATGACTCCCTACTGCTTGTTACTGAGGGAAGTTATTTATAGATGTGATAATCAAAGAGAGGTCTGCTCTCATCATAGCATATGTATCAAAGATGTGACAAATCTCCCAAGACTTGTCAAACCAGATGACTACTATCTACTTTTGGTGATCCAAGTGGGCACAAATGATCCTGCCTGAAGCAAGTCCTGGAAGGCATTGCCAACACTTACAAAGTCTTGGGCAAAAAACCAAAGACCTTAGGGCAAAGGCAGTACTTTCATTGTTACTACCTATTGAAGCCAAGGGCTTCAGAAGAGAAAAAACAGATGTAGATAACGGTGTCCGACAAGCAGGACAGGTTTGAAACTAAAGCACTGAATTTATTTCATATAAATGTATATATATATGTGTGTGTGTGTGTGTGTGTGTATAAATTGCAGTGATAGTGTCAATATGCTTTTATAAGTGCTTACTATGGGCAAGGCATTATATTAATACTGGGGATTCAAAAAAAGGTACATAAAACCACAGTCCCTGCTCTCAAAGAACATCCATTTTAATGGGGGATACAAGGTATTTGCAGCTAAGGGAGGGAGGGGGCAGGAAAGTTGTTTGTTTTTTTTAAAGGCTGCCTTCTACTCCTCCCCCTTAAAAAAAATGACTAAATTTGAGAATGAAATTTGGATTAATGGCCAGATCATAACTTAAAATACAGAAATAGCAAGCATCTGACCAAAGATGGAATACAACTAGCAAGTGGTGGTAAAAATAATTTTTTCACAACCATGGCCAGAGGGAGAATTATTATTTGAACAATGGATAGAAGAGATTAAAAAAAAACATAAAATACTTTATTTACATGAAACAAAATGGTTTTGTGTGAATAAAATTCATACTACCAGGAAAGAAGGGAAACCATCAATTAAGAGGGAAGGGAAAGTTAGTTTTTGTATCAAAGATCCCTGATAAGGGCCTGTTATTCAAGATATCTAGGGAAATAATGTAAATATATTACAACAAGAGTCATTCTCCAGTGAATAAGTAGTAAAAGAATATGAAGAGTACTCAAAGAAGAAAATGTCCTATTGGTTCTGTTCACTTCATTCTGACAGTTCACACTTCCTAGGATTTTCTGAAATTGTCTTCCATCATTTCTGATAGTTCAATAATATTCCACTGAATTCACACATCACATTTTGTTCAGCTATTCAACAATTGATGGGCACCCCCACACTCCTTAGAGGCTAGTTCTTCACCTTTCTTTTTTTTCCCCTTTTAAGCTGCCCTTCAGGATCAGGAAGTTTGTTTTGCTTATGACTTCTTTCCCTGACTATTTGCTCCCCAGTATTATTCTCCCTCTTAACCTCTACTTCCTTATTCCCACCTCTTTGCCTGATTAGTTTGATATATTTCTACATCAATCTCTTTTGTGTGTGGATGTGCATATTAGCATGATGTTTGTTCAACCCTTCTTTATCTGATTCAGATAAATGTGTTTCATCTACTGCCTGTTCCCCAACTTTTCCCTCCATGTTCATATACTCTTCTTTTCATATAACCCAACCATAATAGGATCTACTCCATTATTCCTCCTTTCTATACTAAAATGTCCTACACTCTCTTCTCTTTCTCTTCTTAAAATTCTCAAACCCAGGGCTGTTGCTTCTCCCCCTACAAGAATATTAGCACTTTATCAATGTACAACTATTGAAATAAATTTGTCTTTCTAATTTTCTCTTGATTCTTGTTTTTGTATATCCTATTTCCTTCTGAACTCTGGTCTGTTCATCTGGAATGCCTCTATTCCAAAAGGTCATTTTTAATTTTTATCTATTTACTTACTTTCCCTTATGCTTACCTTTATAAGACATGTTATTCTGCCTTTTGGAATACTACATTCTAAGACATCCTTTCACTGACAGTAGAAACTGCCAGGTCTTTTTGATCCTGACTATAGTTCCTTGATACTTGAACTCCTTTCTTCTTTCAGCACTTTTATTTTTGACCTGCAATCTCTGGGTTTGGGCTATGACATTCCTCGGATTTTTGGAGTCTCTTTCACAGGTGGTCAGTAGATTCTTTCTGTCTTCACTTTACCCTGTGGTTCTAATAAATTTGGGCAGTTTTTACTTATAGGTTCCTCAAACAGAGTACAGGTTTTGTTTTGATCATAGTTTTCAGGGAGACCTATGATTCTTAAATTAATTCCATTTGACCTGTTTTCCAGATCAATTGTTTTTGACAGCTGATTATTACATTTTTTTTCAATATTTTGATTTTGTTCTGATAGTGTTTATTGTCTCGTGGAGCCAATGATCTCTGTTTGGTTTGTTTTAATTTTTCAGGGAGTCTGTTACTCGGGAAAAGTCTACCTCTTTCTGTTCCAAGTTATTTCTTTTCCTTCCAATTCTTTCCTCCAGAGCTCTTATTTTATCATTTTATCTCTTGCTTCATTTCTTCTCCTTATTCATATAGTGTTTGAGGAAAATCAACGTTCCCTTTAAATGTTTGTAGTTACAGAGTTACTCTCCTCTTTGAGGTTGGACTTGGGGGCATGTCTGGAACTACCACTATTCTTTATCATTGTCTATGTCTTTCTCAGTTTATTCATCTCTCCACTCTTAGCCCCTCAATAGGGGTTTTGTACCAGAGCCAAGCTCCACCTCCTGGGCAGGCTGTTTACCCCCTGGTTAGTCTCAACTAAAGCGACCTGAGTTTCTCTGCTAACCTCCACCTTGCAGTTAGGCCTCCTCCCAAATCTCTGTGGTTCAAAGCACTGGGGATTCAGGGCCTTCTATGGCATCTCAGGACAAAACACTAGAATCCCACGAGTCCTCAGGCCTGAAAGGGAGGGTACTAGCCTGAGCACTGCTACAGTCTCACTAGTGGCTGCTCCACCAAGTCACTTCAAAGGTGCCAGCTATAGGTTTCTGACAACCCCGGGGATTTCTCAGGGAAACCTGCCACTCTTGTTGCCTCCGGATATGGAGTCTAGCAAGTTAATCATGTCTCTGGCTAGTTTCTGGTCATCTTGGGAAGCTACCATTTGGCACTGGCTTTTCTGACAGACCCCTTTCCTACTGCTTGTAGGTTGAATTTTTGTGCAGCTCAGTGGTGCGAGAAATCACTTGCTGTAGTTTCTCCTTGGATTTCTTGATCATTTTTCACTCTGATGCAATGTTTGGGTTTTTTCTGGAGTACACATGTGGGAATCAGGATGCCTGCTTCTGTTGAGGCAGCTTTCTTAAATTCAATTGCCACCTTCATATTTTCACAAAAGTTATTTCCCATATTGAGATTGTACCTGACTAGTGTCTTAAAGGAATAGAAGGAATTCAACAAGTAGAGACATGAAAGGCTCTATTTAGTCACTGGAAATCCCCATGTATAAATGCAGAGGCAGAAGAAGGCAGAATGAAATCAGAGAATGATAAGAACAGAGCCTTAAGGGAATTCACTCTACAGAGGCTAGAGGAAGAAAAGGAACCAATAAAAATGAGAAGGAAAAGTAAAGAGAGAAGGGAGAAGATACCGAAGAGATCAATGTCACAGAAAAAAAAAAAAGAGAACCTCAAAAAGAGTGGGAAGAATATAAGTGAAATAAAATCAAAAGATATCAATAAAACATACTTTTTTTAAAAAGGAGAACTGGTCAACAACAACTACAGAGGTCAAGATGAAAGATAACTAAAACATGCACATAAATGACCATATAACACCAAAAAATTAATATATTTATTGCCAAATTTTTTGGAAGTTTAAAGTTAAGAGAATTGAGATGAAGCTAATTGGATTTGGTAATGGAGAAATCGCTAGCGAGTCTGGAAAAAGCAGTTTCAGTAGAGAAGTAAGGGGAAAAAACAACCAGATTCAGAGGTTTGAGAGTGAGAGACCTTTACGAAATAATACAAGCAGCAAGCGTACTCTTATCCATGGAAGTTTTGCAATTAAGTGAGAAGAATAATTGATGGGGTAAGGTTCGGGAGGAGACAGAAAGAGATGAGATAGTTATCATAGGTTTAACAGTATTAGGCTTGGCATGATGAAAGGCCACTTTATTTTCTGAGAATGGAGGAAAGAAGTATGGAATACATGAAGCAACAGAAAGGTTTTGGAAGTGTAGAAAATGGGAGATGAGGATCACTTTACGTGACCTCTTTGTTTCCTCAGAAAAGTAGGAGATGAAATCAGTTGCTGAATTCCAACTAATTAAGCATACACTTATTAAGTGCCTACTTTATGTAAGGCATTGCACTAGTCTCTAGGGATAGAAAAATAAAATAGAAAATTGTCTCTGCTCTCAAAAAGTTTGCATTCTATTGAAGGGACACAGCATGTAAACACATGTAAATACTTTATTACTTGAGGCAGGAAGAGCATGAACAACTATGGGGGATCGGGAAAGGTATCCTGGAAAGGGATGGAGGAAGAGAGGCCAGAGGAAGGAGAAGGAAGTTTAGAAGAATTGCTAAGAGTAATATGTTAGAGAATCAACAAGAGATGAATAAAAGGTTTGCAACACATGGAATCCCTGTTGAAATTAGAGACCATAAACTGTAGTAGATGCAATTGGTCTGATGTGACGACCTCTTCCAACAGCCCTAGTGACTCCAGAAAAGATACAGAGAAGGGGAGTTATCCAGAGTTGGGGATTAGCCGGGCCAGAACAGACAAAAGGTCAAAGGGCTGAAGGATTAAAGAGTAAAGAAGGTGGCATTACTGAAATAGTTGGCCATTAAATCAAGAGTGTGAAGGAAGAAGTAACCCTTATCATCCCTCTTCTTTTCTATTCTGAAGCCAACAAGAGCAGGTAAAAAAACAAAGCAGGAGTTTTAAAGAGTCATCAAGTTGTTAATACTAAACACTATTTCCTACACATTTACTTTTGAAGTATATATTCCACATAGTTCAAAGGAATAACTACAATCAGAAAGCATTTCATTTCAGAAAAGACACAATTCCCTCTTACCTTCATAAAAAGTAGATGATACAAAAATCATCAAAAATACATAAAATACAAATCTGAAAATTCTTTTAAAAATTTAAAGAAAAAGTTTTAAGAATAATACCTAAATATAACAGGAGGCCTTCCATTTTTGTGTTTCACAAAGATGCCATCGAGACAGGCTCCAATACAGATGTCACTTCCCTGGCTATCCTGAAATAAGAAAGTAGAAATTATACCAGCATGAAAAAAAAAAATACACTCAATAAGCAAAGTAGCAATTACCTTAATAATTTACTAACTTAAAATAAGCTGTGGAAAGAATTGTACATATTCACTTAATCACAAATATAGATAGATAGATTTTTTTAAGTCTCAAAGGGCTAATTTTATTTTCTTGCTAAAGAATATATAAAAAAGTTGAAAAGTTAAAAGGTATGACTACCCCAATTTTAGTGCTGATAACTCTCCTGCCATTAATATTTGCAAGTGGTATGTAAAATTAGCATAATTTAATAGACTTTTAAATTAGTTCCTTGATTAAGTTTTCAGATATCCTCATTTATTTTTAAACACAAGGAATACAAATTCAGTGTATGACTGTGGAAAAAAGTAGTAATGTTAGACTCAGAAGATTTAGATTTGAGTCTCAGCTGTCTGGTACTAATCACCCAACCCTGAACAAGTCTCTATGCCTCAGTCTCCTCATCTAGAAAAAGATGTAACAAGATATACTATCTATCTCACAGAGCTGTTAAGAAGAATTTTTTTTCCAAATCAGCAAAATACTACATAAATATGAACTATAATGGAATTTTCCTTCAATTGTTCCATAAAGCAAAAAATAATAAATTGTTAGTTTCAGTGGATCCAGAATTAGCAATACAAAACCAAAACAGTACTTATTATCAAGAAGCTTATCTTCTACTATGTGACTTCATCAACTAATCAGTCACCAAGCATTTATTAAGTACTTACGAAATGTCAGGCAAAATAGTCCCTGACCTCAAGGAACTTAGATGTACATGTAACAAGAACAAAAATAAAGCCTTTTTCGTTGTAGTTTGAGCCTTCAAAATCACAGGCCTAAGTAATGCCAACAATGTGGTCCAGCAACTGCCCTAAGAGAGTTATCTAAGACAATCCAAGACTGTCTTAGAGAGAGTTGCCAGGGGCACTGAGAGTTTAAATGACTTGATCAGGATCTCAGAGCCAATATAGGTCAGAGGCAGAATTTGAGCCAAGGTCTGCTTTATTCTAAGGTCAACTCTCTGCCCGCTTTGTCACACTGCTCCTCTCACAATAACTAGAATGCAAAAGCAGGTGGCAACAAAGAGAGAAAACACTAACAACTGGCAGGAAATGGTAGGGATTAGGGAAGGCTCCATAGAGGAGGCGGTACCTGAGGTTAGCCTTGAAGGAAGAAAAGGGGACAAGAATTCTGAGAGATGAGGAAAGAGTGCAGTCCAGGCATAGGGGATGACTGTTCGTATGCAGAGAGGGAGGTGGTTGGTGGGCTCAGAGAAAAACCAGGAGTGCACTTTGACTGGTCTAAGTTCATAAAGTGGAGTTACATGAAATAGGCCTGGAAAGGTAGCTTTGAGCCAGACTATCTAAGGATTTAAATGCCAAATGAAGAAGTTTACATTTTGTCCCAAAGTCAACACCAATTTTTGTGAAACAGTAATAACCCTGCATACCTTAGCAGGATAGCTCTCTTCCCCATAACCATCCATCCTCTCTACCTCTTGCATATATAGCATTTCAGCATCAGGTGGGGTAAGCCCTCTATAACCAAAAGAAAAAACAAAAAACAAAAAAAAAAGGTCAGTTTAGAAGATCACTCATTAAATTAAAATAATTTTAATTGCTCAAGTCCCCCTTGAGTAACTCAAAAAATCAACAGATACTTCTTGGGACCCTACTATGTGCAAATTACTTTTTCTAGGGGCTTTGAAGGAAAGAAAGAAATATGACAGGAGACAGTTGCCCTCAATGAGCTTGCAATCTAGTAGCTGGAAAAGAATTTTGCACATGAAAATACACCTAAAAGTACCAGACAGTATATAATCAGTATTGTGGATTAATAAGTATTATAGGAGTGAATGAAGAGAGAGGAGAGAAAAATAAAGAGAAAAGGACAGAGCAAACAGGGAGACAGACAGAAAGAGGGAGAGAGAAAGAAAGAGGGACGGTAAAAAAAATTTTAAAAAAGGAAGAGGGAGGGTAAGAAAAACAGAGGGAAGGTGAGAGAAACAGAGAAGGAGGGCAGGAGAAAGAGACAGAGGCAGAGTAAAAAAGATAGAAGGGGAGGGAGGGACAGACAGAGAAAGGCAGAGTGAAAGAGACAGAGAGTAAGACAGGGAGAAAGAGAGATGAAGAGTCAAAAATAGAGTCAGAGACAGAAAGAGACAGAAAGACAAAGAGAGATAGACCAGAGACAGCGATAGAGAAGAAAACAACAATTCCAGCTTAGATGGTCCTAGAGGAAGCTGGATTTGAGTTGGGCCTTAAAAGATGAGTAAGTTTTAAATGACAATAAAGGGATGACATCACCCTAGGTAGGGAAGGCATAAACTAAAGCAGGAAAGTATAAAATATGTCTGAAGAAGAAGTACACCAATTTGTTGGATTAGCAGGGCATAAAGCTGGAGCAGTGCATTGGGCCCATATTAAGTAAGAGAGAGAAAACACACTTAGAGTGCAGACTTCCTCCTACAGGAAATGAGAAACTATTGAAGGTCCATGAGTAGGGAACTGATTTGGGGAAACCAGTTTTCATGGCATATAGGACAGACTGGAGCAATGAGAGAACAGCACTCTTTTCCTCTGCAATGCAAGACTGAGACCACAGATAACCTATCAGCCTTGACGGCCATTTCTGAAGTGCTGCCTACGGCATTAGGATAAAAGACATCAAAGGTTTATACAAGCACTCTAAAAGTAAAGCAATAATGCAAACTTTTGAATCACATATCCTGCTAAGCAGTAATATGGACAAGGTACACAGTGGCTATTTGAAATGACATGTAGATACTTAATTGTTTAGAAAAAGCCCTGACTTTGGCTAGGTGAGAATATTTAAGGCAATATGGTGTAATATAGAGAGCTGGACTTGGAATCAGGACAACCACAGTTCAGGTTCCATCTTTGGCACATACTACCTAATTTCTCTCTGCTTCGATCTCCTCATCTGTAAAACAGAGATAATACAGGATGTTCCAAAAGTCTTGGTGTAGTTTTAAGCTTTAACAGCGTAAAAGTCTATTAAAAGTCACCAAGTTTTAAGACAATAAAACTTAATGCTGCAATAAAACTAAAGTGTCCACACTTTTTAAACTAGAAATTCCATTACTTAGCTTCCCCAAAGAAGCTATCAATAAAAAGAAAGTCCCCACATACTCCAAAATATTTATAGCAACACTTTTTTGTAATAGCTGAAAATTGGAAACAAAGTAGATGCCTATCCATTAAGGAATGGTGAAAAAAAATATATGATACTTGAATATAACAGAATACTACTGTGCTGTAAGAAATGATGTGTGCAATGAATAGAGAAGCCTGGAAAGATCTATACAAACTGATACAGAGTAGAGTAAGAAGAGCCAAAAATAAAAATCAAAACAAAACAATATACACAATGACTACAACAATTTAAATGGAAAGAATGAGCACGTACCAGAAAAACAAAAGTAAATGTAACAAAATTATGGAGATCAAATAGGACTCAAATGAAGAGATAGGGAAAACTCCTTCAACCTACTCATCATAGAGGTGAGAGGTATACAGGCATTACACTTTACACTTCTTTTTTGTTTTGCTTTGTTTTGTTTTGTTTTGGCTAGGCAATGGGGTTAAGTGACTTGCCCAGGGTCACACAGCTAGTAAGTGTTAGGTGTCTGAGGCCAGATTTGAACTCAGGTCCTCCTGAATCCAGGGTCGGTGCTCTATCCACTGCGCCACCTAGCTGCCCCAACTTTACACTTGTTTTAGGACTTTTTCAATATATAGATCAATTTGCTGATTTTTTTTCCTCTCAAAAAAATACTATTTGACATATGGGATGGTTCTCTGGGAGGGGTACATAGGATACTGTGGTGATACAATCAAGAGAAAACATCAATAAAAAGTTATTTTTTTTTAAACTGCACCAAGAGTTTTGGGACAGCCTGTACTACCTTTACTATCTACCACAAAGAACTGTGGTGGGGTTCAAATGCGAAAATGCATGTAAATGTCATGTTGGAATTGTCAGGGGTTTTTCTTATACCTAAATTGGCTAGTGTATAACAGTTATTCCAATGAAGTCTGAAAATCATATAGTACAACTCCCTCCGAAAATGCAATGAACACTCTGAAGATAATGGGGGGGGGGGGGGATTTCTCCATTTGTAGTTCTGTTAAGAGGGAGACAGATAAGTTTATAACACATTATAGCTCTGACCCATGGATCAGAAAATCAGACTGCCTTTAAAAATCTGAATTTACTTATGTCAAGACATTTGTAAAATTGTAGAAGTCCATAACTTTTCAAAAATCACTGCATCCTATGCCACTCACCTGTATTTCTGGTGTAGTAAGGCCACTTTTTGCGTTGCTTCTTCCAATACTTTTTCATCCTGTAACCATCCCTGTACGCAAAACAAAGGAGTAGGTTTTAAACAAGCTGGTTGAATGGCTAAAAAATAAACCAGCATCTGCAATCTTTACTACCAAAGAGTTGACAAGACTTATCAAAGGGATTTTAGAATAAGGATTATGATATTTTTACTAAGAATAAAAAGAAACCTGCTAGTCCTTTTCATTTCATCATCACAATACAAGGTTATCATCCCAATTATTTAAACATATTTACTAAGGGGTTTTTGTGTCCAATACTGTAAGATCATGTGCATTTAAGGAAACAAAAAAGAACAGCATTTGTGTGACTACTGAACAGGACAGTATATTCCTTAGCTGCCAGGGTGTTCAAAACCCACGTCATATCTGTCAAAATTGATCTTATAAATGTATGACATTATTTTCCTTCCAAGCACCCAAATCCAACTACCTAAAGAGGTCAGTATGTCTAAGAAACCAAAGTAAAGTACCAGACTTCACTACAGAAAGAATATGCAGATCATAATTATGTAGCATATCATTTCACGTGCCAAGTAATACACTTTTTTTTAGCGCTTAATCCTAGTCAGTCCACTGACCACCACCTCACCTATAAAGTAAAGAGTTTAGGCTAAATAACCTCTAAGTCCTCTTCCAACTATAAAAATCTATGTCCTTATTTCAAGGATTAAGATATGGGAACCATATTCAAGCCCTTTAATCTTATTCATTTTTAAGTCCCAACATAAAAGAGTTCTTACCACAGGAAACAAGGCAAATCTTTGCAGAAAGTCCTGGGATTCATACTGATCAAAATCACCAAAATCAGCTATGAAAGAAAAAAAATAAAGGTCAAGATTCACTTATTAACTTATTTTAATTTGTATGCTTGAAAGAATGCTAGATTTGGAGTCAGAGGGCCTGGGTTCCAACCAGGTCTTTGTCATTCACCTATGTGACCAAAAACAAGTCATCTAACTTCTCTGGGAACTCACTGTAGAATGAACTAATTAGACTTGATACACTCAATGGTCCCTTCCAGCTCTAAATCAGTAGTAGTAGTAGTAGTAGTAGTAGTAGTAGTAGTAGTAGTAGTAGCAGTAGTAGTAGTATTCATAGAGTCCCTACTATGTTTCAAGCACTGTGTAAACTGCTTTACAAATACTATCTCATTCAATCCTCACAACAATCCTGAGAAATAGGTGCTTTTTTTATCTCCTTATGATTTTCAAAAAAAGCTTAGTATACTATATAAAGATGATATGCTGCAGAAGTCAGATTTCTCATGAAAGGAATGGTTCAAAAAAAATTTTTAATTAATGGTAGTTCAACAAGTTTTTAAAAGATTAGCTTTAAGAGTAATTTCACCTGGGCTCCTTCATTTTGAAGAGCACAAACTAAGCTTTTAAAGCATAATTTACCATCATTTTCAAAGTAATTTCAAGTATGGAAACACATATAACATATACAACCACATAGATAAAAAGTTACTAAGTCTGCATGTGTGCAAAGCAAATTTTGTCAATTATCCACCTGCTTTGCAATTCCAAAAGAAAAAAAATCACTAGTTTGAAAACAAATTGACATTTTTTGATCAAAGTCTCCTATTGCAAAATAACTAAGATAAAAATGGAAAGCATGTTTATGGAATGCCAATGAGTTCCACTTAATGGTCACTGGCAGCTTGTAACTGTGGACTTAGATTGGAGGCTTGAAACATAAAGAAGTGTAACTCATGATATCTGAGATATAAAAAAGAATCATTCACAGATTTCCTAGTTGGATTTCCCTGCCATGAATTCATCTGGAAAATTATTAACATACTCAACTTTCAATACCTTTATTCTCAAAACTACTTATTTATTATTAATAATAATAAAAATACATTTATATAGCGCTTTAAGTTTTGCAAATCACTTTATAAATATTATGCCACTTCATTCTCACAACAACTCTATGAGGTACTATCAGTATCTCCATGTTACAGGTAAACAACCTGAGGCAGAAACTGGAAGAAACAGTGGTTAAGTAAGTTTCGCAGGGTCACACAGTTTATAAGAGTCTGATCCTGGATTTGAACTCATGTCTTGCAGACTCCTGGTCCAGCTCTCAATCCACTTCACCTCTTAGCTGCCTAATCTGCTGCAGCTAACCTCTTTCACTTTCCTTAGTCTCTAGGATTTATCAGTAAACAATGACCATTGAATATTCATAATCCCAGCATTTGAAAGTCATTTTCAAATAGAGGATCCAGTGATCTAGGAACAAAGCTTTGTTAACATTCAGCTATTGATATTCAAGTATAAACAGAAAGATTAAGTCAATTGGGTCAATGGTTCTTCCCAGTAGATTGTTAGTTATAATGTATCTTCAAAACACCTCTATTAATGTACTTTTCTGACTTACCTTGTACAGCTAAACCTGCAAGCTGAATTGCCTGTTCTAATGTGCAAGGAATATTTCCTTCCAATATATCTTTCTTCAGTTGCAGATAATACTGATACCTATTTAAAAAGGAGAAAAGAAAACCTCTCATTATTTCAACTACTGGCTGAACTCATAAATTTCATCTATTCAAGTAAATATGAACCACACCTTTGAAATGATTGCTCTTTGAAAGGTAAAATATATGTGTATATACAGAAAAATTACACAAAATGGAAAGAGTTTATTCAGATGTTTATTCATTTTTATCACCACTCTACCCTTATTTATGGTTGACTTCTTCCCTGAGACTTCAACAATATGTTATCTGTGTTTGAAAGGCAGTGCTTTAAAATGCTGCCTTTCAAACAGATTACATATTGTTTTAAAATAAGTATATAAATTTTAGAGCAGTTAGGTGGCACAGTGGATAGAGTACTGGACCTGAAGTCAGGGAGACTCATCTTCCTGAGTTCAAATCTAGCCTCAGACAGTTACTAGTTATGTGATTCTGGACAAGTCACTTAAGCTTGTTTGCCTCAGTTCCTCACGTAAAATGAGCTGAAGAAGGAAATGGAAAACCACTCCAGTATCCTTCCCAAGAAAACCCAAAAGGAGGTCACAAAGAGTCTGACACAACTGAAAAACAACTGAACAACAACAAAAATATAAATTTTACTTTGGTGTCTACCGAATACAGAGTACTGAAGAAAAAGGTACATTTAAGCTGAAACCTAATAAAAAACAATGAAATAAAATGATTAAGTCTCTAACTTCCATTATTTAACAATTATGAATCTTCTAGCTGTTAATATTCTACTCAACTTATGACGTGTGTTATTGATGAAAATTGAGGCTCAGAGAGATTATTCAGGGTCACAAAGTAAGTGTCTGCAGAGGGAGTCAAACTTAGGTCTTTTTGACTCCAAGGCCAGCACTCTTACCCCCATGTCATATTGCCTTTCTTGTGTGTATGTGTATAATTGTGAGCATTTACATAGCACTTCAAGGTTTGCAAAGGTTTAACAAATATTATCTCATTTGATCCTCTCAACAACCCTTCCTGATAGATGCTATTATCATCACTATTTTATAAGATGAGGAAACTGAGGCAGATAAGTGACTTGCCCAAGGTCAGACAGCTAGTAGGTTTCTATGGCTGCATCTGAATTTAGGTCTTCCTGACTCCAAGTCCAGCGTTCTATCCACTGTGCCAAATATATATGTATATGAACATGTATGAGAACATATGCATGTATATGTATGCATATATATAGATGCTTATATTTACATATATCTATAAAAACAACCGCACCATACATCCCTCTTCCAGTTCCTTGAGAGCAAGGCCAGTTTTGTTTCTGTCTTTGCGACTCCAGCAACTACCTTGCACACTAGGGTTGGAAGGAAGGAAGGAAGGAAGGGGTAATCAGGAGTGATTTCATTGTAATAGAGAACTCTCAGTGAGTAAAACCTCATCAACAATGCATCTTATATCTGTTCATCATGGGAATGCTGCAAGCAATATATTTGACACCTCTCCCCTGGTTCATTTTTATATATATAACCCCAGGATATAGCATACTGCATGACATACAGTAGGTACTTAATATATACTTGTTAGTGAATGGGAACCACCAAAAATAGAAGAAAAGAAAATTACACCAATGCATAAGGAAAGAAGAATAAGTAAAGCCCATATGGGTTTCAAATGGATTCAAATACCATGGGAGAAAGGGAAATATACAGAAGACAAGGGATAGCACCTATCTATTTAATTGCCTTAGGGGCAACCAGATCTCATAGTGGACCTGGACTCAGGAAAGGCCAAGTACTTCCCATCTTGCCTCAGACACTTACTTGGAGTGTAACCTATGACCCTGAGCAAGGCACTTACCCTGTTTGCCTCATTTTCCTCATCTGTAAAATGAGCTGGAGAAGGAAACAGCAAACCTCTCCAGTATCTTTGCCAAGAAAACCCCAAATGGGGTCACGAAAAGTCAGACACAACTGAAATAACTGAGCAACAAACCCTGGGCAAGATACTTAACTTCTCAAGGCTTCAATTACCTCATCTGTAAAATGAGGATAATAATAACACCTATCTCACAGCACTGTTGTGAGGATCAAATGAAATACTATATATGAAGCATCTGCAAACCTTAAAGCGCTATATAAATATTAACTAGTATTATTACTGAGAAAGTTCAAAACTGCACATGTATAATCTATATCAAATTGCTTGCCTTCTCAACGAGGGGGAAGGAGAGGATTTGGAACTCAAAATTTTTAAAAACTAATGTTATGACTAATGTGGAAATCAGTTTAATATCATTGTATATGTAGAGCCTGTATCAGATCGCTTGTCCTCTTGGGGAGGGAGGAAGAAAAAATTTGGAATTCAAAACCTTGTAAAAGTGAATGCTGAAAACTAAAAATAAATAAATAAAAATTAATGTTAAAAATAGTTTTTACATGTAATTGGGAAAAAATAAAAAATTTTTTAAAAAGAAAAGTCAAAGGGATTCTGGTGGTCATTGATAAAAGTTATAATTAGGAAAGAATTCACAGTATTATATTTGAAAGGGGGCACAGAAACATAATAGTGATTAATCAAAAAGTTCATGATTGCCAGGGTTGTGCCAATTAGAAACCAAAGGTAACATATTGTAGCATATATTTTGTTGTTTCAGTAGGCATCCATTCACCCTATAGAATGTTACCCTAGATAAAGTGATTACGAAAGCTTGGGAGGATAGGAAATATATAGGGAGAAGAGGGTTTAGGGCTCTTTGTCGCTCTATAGGAAAAAAATGAACAAACTGGTTCACTGTCTATATGCCACAAGTTCCAGGAATATCTCATAAGACATCCAACAGCAACAGCTTCTGTAGAAAATCTGCAGCTTATCTAGGAACTTAGCCCTGCAGGAACTAATTATTAGCACGGAATGTCGGGAATCCTCAGGGAAATTCTACAATCCTTGCTCACAGATGAGGTCCTCTTCCCTTACACTATTCAGGAACCTACCTTGTCTTTATCTCCATCTTCTTTATACATGAGACTGGAAAGTTGTCACAAAATTTTTCCAGTGTTCTCAGGGTGAAACTTCCTTATAGGTTCTTTTCATATGTCAATGATTGTGTATGATTAATGAGCCAGTCTTATGTGGAAATTTCATTCTATAGCAAATATTGTTCTAATGTGGTTCTGGTATATTTAGCATGTTAAAAATAATATTACTGTTTGAATTCCCTCTTCTTGTTATTAATCCTTTTTTTAAGTGAAGGGATATCATTGTTTATTTTTGATAAACAGCAATTTTTAAAAAGAAAGAACACTCTGTGGTTATGTGATTATGTTGACCACATGCATAACTAACACATTTTTTTCTGAATTAGTTATATCACTGTGCAGACCTTTCATACCCACTAGACTCACAAAGAAATGACAAAATTGAACACACCATCCTCTGTTCAAAATTATTTATCAGCCAAGAACATGTCAAATTGACTATAAGCACTCTATCTACTTGGCAGACATATCTCCTCCCACCCCAAAGAGCTAACCAACTAACGTTTAATAAATAACTGCTTCATATAAAATAATCTACAAAATCATCAGCCCAATTTACATCATTAAGCCAAAGATCTGTGATTTTTTCTTTATGGGAATTCCTGATGTGGGAAGCTCTTCCACCTGTAAGTTATAATCATGTAGAGCTGACTAAGGCTTAAAGCAGAACCCATAGTCACACAGCTGGTTGAGAGTCAGAGGAAGACGATGAAGCCAGATCTTAATGACTCCACATCCTGGAGTCTTGCTAGTAGCTTAAAAATGAACTAAGCCTTTGTAACACCCTGTATTTCATGATGCCTCCTCAAATCAAAATTGCTGATGCAAAGTATCTTTGCAAATAGAAAATATTATCCTGACAATAATCACATATTGAATGCCTATCTGTGTGTACTATACACATATGTACTGGAAACAATGGCACAGGACTGTCCAGCACGATGTACCCACATTAAAGAAGGCAGTGTGCTCTATAAGCAAAGCAGAAATGTTGTAGCTCGAAAGCAGCTTGAGATGAACAAATTTAGAGATATCTCCACTATAAATGTTCATATGGACTATTTGTGCCTGACTGGTGGGAGAGCCTTCCAAGCTCATACTGGTCTGATCAGCCACAGTCAGACACACTGTACCTTGACCCCAACATAGTGATGTCATTTTGGTCCTCTTCAAGAATGAAGGACAATCAACCAACATATTCATTCATACATTCAAAGGGTAATATTATCTTTAACATGTGCATGATATATGTGTTTGTATACACAGATATGTGTATACTTATATGCATTTTATGTTGTCCTGCAAGCCATACAGTGAAACCAGAAAACTGCAGTAACAGAAGTGGCCCTTGAAAAAAAAATGCGCTTTTTCTAAACAAAGAGTGAGGATTTAATTTAAATTAAGAAGCTTAAATTCAGCTGGACCATACATTGGAGGTCGTTTTACAATAATAGGTTGAGATGCTACATTTTTTTATTGTGTCCCTGACAATTTTCTTTCACTCTGAAGATACCTTGTCCATTTTTTAATCTCAAAATCCAAAAGACCTATACCCCTCAACATATTTCTTTGCTCTTCTCTTTTTTTCTCCATAGTAAAAAGTTGATAATCCCTGCTGTAGTTCTTTTACAACAAACAAGCCCTCCTGTACTCCTTCATACCTCCCCCCTCTAAGTTTCCTTTACCTATTCAAGCTTTTCAAAAAATCTTCCTTGTCCTTAAAACTCCTACAAGAACTAGCAAGTCACCATGGAAACCAGAGCTATAAGTCCTTTAGTGCTTTACCCTGAGGAATGAGCAGTAAGCAGGGCTTAACCGATTTGGTGACGAAGTTCATGGATTTTGAAAAACCTCTCCTGTTTCCATACCATTATTAAAGTGCACAGAGAAAAAGTTCTGCTTCATGTAAAAATTATGACTGGCATCCCTCTAACAGTGAGACATATCTAGAGCAAAAATAATTTCTCCTTTGTTCAATTTTTCCTTTATGCCTAGGAAAAGTTAATAATTCACACAGCACTGAGATAGCCTCACGACTGAATTTGCCTGTAACATTATGTCTACATGTTGGATGTGTTAGGATGAAATTTTGGTCTTTGAATGCCCTAGTTCAATCTTAATTTTAGTTTTTTATCCTACCAGCTTACTTAAAAGAAAAACTAAAAAAAATCAGACATGCTCTTCTCACCTGGTAATTTCCTGTTGAAGCTGGGAAACCATAGGCACATAAAACACCACCCCGAAATAGACAGTTGGTTCCAATGCATACTTGTCTAACTGCTTTTTCAAAGGCTTGTCCAAATCTACCCACCGGCGCTGATTTTGCTTGTTGTAGTACCACAGGCTGAAGTAAGTAATCTGAAAAAAGAAAAGAAACAAAGTGAACAGGGCAAATACATAAAAGAAAACTCATTCATTCAACAACTATATATTAAGAACCTATTCTGTATAAAGCACACTGATAATGAGAAAACAGCTTCACGCTGGCTTTCTTCTCAGTAGACATAACACAAAAAGGAATTAAAAGAAAATGAAATGCTGATATATCTTACATTCAGAAACTAGTGATCTAAATCAGTTGTGTTTATATACTCTCCAAAGAACTGTGTAAAACTGACTTGTTTGATTTATTTATAGTTAGTGCTGACCAGCAATGGCTGAAACACCATTTGCTTGAGAGGTGACGTAATGTGGTTAGAATGCTGATCTTAGAATCAGAAAGACAAGGGGATTCAAATCCATTTATTAGCTAGAGGACTGTGGGCAATTCACTTAACTCCCCAATCTCCCAGGCAACTAAACCTATAATATTGCACATAAGTTGCTAATTTGCATCGGTGGATAGAGTTCTCACATTATGAATGTTCCCTATACCAATGACATCACAGACCCTCAGTTTTCTCATTTCTGTAGACAGCTGGGTGATGAAGTGGATAGTGGTGGAACTGGAGCCAGAAAGACCTGAATTCAAATCTAGCCTCTAACACTCCAACAAACTAGCTATGTGACCCTGAGTGTATCAATAACCTCTATCTGCTTCAGTTTCCTCATCTGTAAAATGGAGATAATAACAGCACCTGCCTCCCAAGGTGGTTGTGAGGAAGAAATGAGGTAATATTTACAAACCTTGAAATGCTATAGAGAAAGGTAGATAATACTAAAACACATACAGTACCTATACCACAGAGTTGGTGAGAGTCTCAAATAAGAATGTGTGGAGAGTATTTATTAATAGCTTTTATTTTAAGAGATTAACACAAATCAGAACACTGGAAAGCATTACAGCTAATATTAAAACCATGAATTACCATTAACATTTATAAAACAGTAATTTTAAATATTTACTTTTATACAATACCTTTGTGTTTTACCAAGTAGAGGTGTGTCAAAATGGAGGTTATCCAGGGTCCAAATTTCTACTCTTCTATAGAATATATATAGAGAGAGAATATATATGTATGTATATATAGAATATACGGCCACTTAATAGAAACATAGAACTTCAGAAGTGGAAAAAAGCCTTAGAAATCATCCAGCCCAACGTCCTCATTCTGCAGATGAGGAAATTGAAGCCCAGAGAGGTGAAATCATTTGATTAAGTCACACAAAATGTTAGTGGTAGGAATATAAGACATGATTTAGTATTGGAGGTGCAGATACAATTCTTCTTAAAACATGATACCTTAATTTCTTCATCTGTAAAATGTGAATAATACCCTCACAGGATTATTCCTAAGAGATAACATTTGTCAAGCTTACTTGACCAGATAAATGTTGGCTACTATCATCAATCCAAAAACAGTACAATAGCAACTTAGCAAAAATAACTGTTGCGGCTCCTATGTGGTGACTGAACAATGAACTTAAAAAGAACAAATAAGGGGAAAGTCAGCTATATATACAACATTAAAAGAGTGTAGCTAGCTCCATGGACTATATCCAACAATGACTTTTTAGACCCCAGTAGTTGCCCCTGGTTTTCATTAAGACTAAGCACTATAACATTACAACATTACAACAGTTGAAACCTTAGCCTTGGGCCACTGCTAATCTTTTAAAACTTAGTTTCCTTGGGCTGGGCAATTGGAGAAATTGCTGCCATAAAATCCAAGGATGCTTTGTTTTACACTAGAATAATAACAGTAAAACTAAGCAATAATACATCAACAATGACAGTAAAGCTACCTCCCAGGACTTGTGAGCTTTTCTGCAATAAGGAAAAACAATGAATGTTTTAATTTGCAAGAAGAAAGATGGGAGGTATTATTGCTATAATTAATCTCTCATCAGTTTTTTTAAACAGAATAGCATTAGCAACTTTAAATGTTTTATAGAAAAAAGGAAGAACTATATTTCTAAAGCAAATTGATCGTATTCTCCTGATCAAGCCATCTCATATATATAAACAATATAGTCAATATAAAGGTGCACTTCATTTTATGGAATTGATTTGTCCATGAAAAGTTGCATATAAATAAATTTTTTAAAAAATCAAACCTTACTTTAAATGCATTATGGCAGTCTGAATATTAATAAGAACTAATATATGAATAATCTTTTGGGGGAGGGGGAGAGAAGGGTTGTTGGGGCTGGTGATTTTTAGGAACTCCCAGTATAAAAATTGCTTAGCAGATTGACTGGGACATTAAGTAACTTACCAAGGGTTTACACAGCCCAGTACCGGGCATTATGGCTAATTCTGGAGAATCAGGGAAGGCTGATCCAGGACTTCTCCAAAACCCAAAGTTCCAACTCACCAATGAAAAAGAGGCCAACAGGCATACTACACACCGGTGTCTTATTACTACAGGAATTAACTCTACTACTCAAGTGAAGCCTCTTAATCATCGGGAATGAAGGTGTGGTAAAGGCTGTGTATTTGTTGACAGGAAAGTGTGTCTAAGGGAGACAGGTGGGACTAGTGACAGGAAATATGAGATTGGTATGAAAGAAGGAATGTCTGTAAGGAATTCCTTTGAGAAAGTAACAAGTTGGGGAGCAGCTAGGTGGCACAGTGGATAGAGTGCCCAGACTGGAGTCAGGACAACTCATCTTCCTAAATTCAAATCCAGCATCAGACACTTACTAGTTGTGTGACCCTGGGCAAGTCATTTAACCCTATTTGCCTCAGTTTCTTCATCTGTAACATGAGCTGGAGAAGGAAATGGCAAATCACTTCAGTATCTTTGCTAAGAAAACCCCAAATGGGGTCACAAAGAATTGGACACAACTGAACAACCAAAAGGGAGGAGGAGGAAAGGGGCAATAGTCACCGGCATTCCTACCCTTCTAACTTCTGATCAGACTCTCCTTACTTCCAGAAATGTCTATGGGACACAAGGAGAGAAGTATACCAGCTACCTCTGTGTTACCTTCCTCTCTACACCCCCCCATTAGAACGTGAGCTTCTTGAAGTAAGGGGAATATTTTTGCCTTTCTTTGTATTGGCAGTGCTTAGCCTGACACATAATAAGTACTTAATGTTTTTTAATTAAGTCCTATTCCTTTGGTTGATGGACATTTGAAATGCTAAAAGGTTATAGGCCTTACTTCTAACTCCCTGGGGTCCTCTCCAACGGATGTCCTAAAGCTACACACAGGGTAGGTGTTCTAACATGACACCATTCTCCCTCCCACTGGGGATCTCTGATACATTTTGTATAGCACATTGGATTACAGGATTTAAAGCTGGAAGAGATCTTAGAAATTATCTAGGTCATGCCTTTCATTTTCTAAATGAGAAAACTAAGCCTCAAAAAAGAGTTAAATGACTTAGCAAAGTTCAGATTGTTGCTATAAACCCAATGGTATTTCCACTGGCTCATGAATTTATGGATACATAACTACAGCCCTTTTTTTATTTGAATTATATTTGAGGTCAATCATTCATTCAACAAGCATTAGAACATGCCTGCCATGTGCAAAATATTAAGGAAGTGATGAGGAAGCTCACAACCTAGTAGGCAAATTATCTAACTATCGAAACTAAGCTGAAAGGGACCTTCTGGGCCACCCTCTCATTTTACAGATGAGGAAAAGAGAACAAAAGAAGTTATGTAACTTCCCCCAGGTCACCCAGTGATAGAGGTGGGATTGGAAACCAAATGCTCTAATTCCACATTCACTGCTCTGGCAAATACAATTCAATATTGATATATACATAAGTAAACCACCAGTGCAAAATATAGAGGGGAAAATTGTCAGGCCTAAAATCCTTTGACAATTCCAAAGCAGAAAAAAAAAATTTATGTCTACCTTAGTGGCACAGGTGCAAATTAAGTGCAAATCCTCAATTAAACATTCAAAGTAAAAGCAAAGAGACAGGAGAGTGTAGAATGTGTTCTCTAGGACTAGTCTGGCTTCAGCATAGAGTTTTCAAAGGAGAGTAGAGTTGCAAAGATATGATGACAAATTATTGAACACCTTGATTATCAGGCTAAGGAATCTGAACTTTATTCTTTGGGCAATATCAAATAGGGGCACTAGATGGCGCCGTGGACAGAACGCTAGGCCTGAAGTCAGGGAGACCCGAGTTCAAATGTGACCTCGGACACTTACTAGCTCTGTGACCCTGGGCAAGTCACTTCACCTTGTTTGCCTCAGTTTCCTCATCTGTAAAATGAACTGGAGAAGGAAATGGCAAACCATTCCAGTATCTTTGCCAAGAAAACTCCAAATGGGATCACAAAGAGTTGGACGCAACTGAAACAAATGAACAATAACAAATATCAAGGAAAGAACCAGTAAAGAACTCTGAGTGGTGGTAGTAGACCAAGAAACATCACTTAAGACAAGAGCTAAGTAGTCCTGAAAATACCCTTTCATCCACATGAGTCTTTTCCTTAAAATATAATCATAAATGCTACAAATATATGAATTTGAATTAAACAAGTGGTATAATTTGGTCTATCTTGCAGTGTCCATTTAGATAGCTAATAACTACAAGAAAATCCCTTGACTAATTTGTTAGCATTATAAAAGATGGTATAATTTAAAAGAGATGACCTAATTATTAAGGTATTCTACACTTCTGAGATTAACTAGGACTTGAGATTTATTTATATTAGTCATAATTTATTACTCATGGCACACAAGGGCAGAAAATCAAACAGAAACACAGATAAACAGATCTGTGAAACTGCACCATAATTAGTTTCCAACAAATTGCATAATATATCATGGAAAGGGATAGCCAAGAATACATAAAATTGTGCAATAGCTGAAAAGAATAGCAGGCTTAGCAAGAAAAGACATTCAGCTAGGCATTGACTGGTTATTCTAGGAACAGGATTTTGTACACTGACCTATATGTTGCAGGAAAAATAACTGCTCAGGTGCCTTCTCTTCTGTATACATTC